TCAGACTTCGGCAGCGGTGCAGCAAAGACCTCCGGAACGACGCATCCTCTCAACTTCAGGCGATCAATGCTGTCTGGTGTTAGCTCATAGAATATTGCTCCCAGATGCCGAACAAACGATTTACCAACGCTGGCCTAGACTAGAGGCCATTTCTGAATCTCAGCTTCGCCGTATGCAACCAGTCCACACTGATGACTCGTACAATCGTACACTCACCGTGCATGTAAGATTTTTTATTTTTTTCTGAAAAAAATCAAAACGTATGCGTGCGGACGACGCGAAACATAGCTATAAAAAATGATGGCCTAATCCCTCCCACTTCCGATCCTGCCACTGCCGCCGATGGCAGTGCCACTGCCTGACTGCAACAATGAGCAGTCCATCGCCGGTAGTGTATTTTTTAGTGTGTTTTTAGTGTCAATTACCTTCGCCGCTTTCACTTCAGGCTGCCTCAATGCAGTAGAGGAGTTGGCTGGCACAGACATGTAGCACCGAGTTGCTACGGTCACGATGGACCTTTACGTCCAGCATAGTCAGGTGATCATTGCAATGACCATGCAGAAATCTCTCTTACAACACACAGTAGTACACACACACACAGACACATAGACACACGTGCAAGCACGCGCGCACACACACATGCGTGCTCCGAACACACACACACATACACACACATACATGGACGTGCGCGGGTATAATTTGTAAATTAAAAGTCATAAAGACCCCCAGATCAGACAGACAGTAAGCTTAGCCTAGCCAAGTACATGTACAGTGTAGTTCACTCATTCCTTGGTTAGTTATACGTTATATTACCTAGTACTCACCATGGTACACTGTCATGTCCATGTACACAGTCATGCCATACCCTTTCTTGACTCACTCCTCAGTCTACAGACTACACTGTACAGACGAGCACAGTGTCAGTCTCCACTGGCACAGTATAGACTATTACAATGTACACAGCCATGTACATGTATGTACTACTAGTCACAAAACTCAAGACAGAGTTTGGAAGCTTTGTTACAACTCTGAGTTTCACGTATTGCTACGATCATCAGGCAACTACTAGTACAGTGTACTAATAGTCATGTAGAGTCAACTTCGGTAATAACGACTGCGGATATAACGACAATTCGCGAAAAGCGACAGAATTTCCATGCCCAGAGCAAAGTCCCATCTAACTGTGTACATTTAACTTCGGATACAACGACTATCTGAATAACGACATGCTTTTAGTGCCCCGAGGTCATATTCACTGCTTGAATAACGACTTTCTGGGCTTTGGACAGCTATTTCAAGTACCTGTCATGCAGAAGTACCAGAACCCATGCTATGCATGGCGGTGGATAAAGGCACACATGCAAGAAGATGCAGCCAGGGGGGGGGGGGGGGCTTTTATTTTTATTTTTATTTCTTGCTTCTAAATTATAGTAAATACATGTTGGAGGGATCAGCACAACTACAATGTCATGTAATTGTAGGTCTATTATTCATGATTGTACAGTAATCATCATACATGTCATGTGCATGTCCCTGTAGATGGCTCCAAAACTTTTTTTATAGTTCCTTTCAATTGTAATATGAAAATGGAGTACACATCAGGGAGTCGTAAAATACCATTCCCTGGTACACATTGGCATAGAGCATGAAAAGAGCTTCATTTTGATATGCATGTCATACTACCGTATTTTCCGGGGTATAAGCCGCACCGGGGTATAAGCCGCACCCCCCTTTTTGAGGCAAAATATTGACTAAAAGTTGGTATTCGGAGTATAAGCCGCACCCACAAACCAAGATTTTTCACACTCATTGACAAATGACCTTTCTACAAATTGATTATGGTTATGGAGCTAAATACCATGTTAGATCAGATTATGAAGTGTTAGTGCACCACAGGTTGCTGCAGAGATGTTGGTGTATTGCTGTGTTGACTACAGATCACTCCATGTCATCTGCACCATCTGTTGCGCTGCCACTGATGTTGAGCTGAGTCGAATGACATGTCACATGACGTCAGCATGCATACTGATGTATGCTAAGCATTCATTCGCGCAAGCATATTCGGTGTATAAGCCGCAGGGGCGATTTTGGTCCGATTTTTAGCGAAAAAAAGTGCGGCTTATACCCCGGAAAATACGGTATGTAAATACAACAATAAAAAAAATAAAAAAATTAAATGTATATAATACAACCCAACAGTACGCTTGTACGTGAAATATAAACCTACATACAAACCGAGGCGAAGCCGAGGTTTGTATGATGGTTTATATTTCACGTAGTGGTAGGCTGGTGTATATTATTGTGATGAAAATGTCTTTTAATTCCCGTAGCTATGCAGAAGACGTTACTTCAGTAACGTCTGGCGCTAGCCAGGGTCCACACAGCTTTAATTCCCGTAGCTATGCAGAAGACGTTACTTCAGTAACGTCTGGCGCTAGCCAGGGTCCACACAGCTTTAATTTGGTGTTTGTTTGTGTGTTTGTTTGTTTGTGTCACGCCTGGCGCTATTTTGTATCTATCCCGTACTGTACCGTACCAGCAAAGACAGCTGGCCACAATATTTTTGTTTGTTTGTGCCATCGACATGCCTGGCGCTATCCCGTACCTGTCCCGTATCATCAAGAGTACGGTACCATCAAGAGAATGAGTATATATGCGAAGTGTATGGGGGGAATGCATTCAGTGCAGTAACATTAAATTTTGTGTGGATTTGTGTGCGAGGCCGAGATCCCACTAGCAGGCTGGCTGGGCCGCCTATCGACCAGCCCGGAAATCGCATGTAGGCCGATAGCATAATAATTATAACGTATATACAGTCATGTAGATGTATAGCAGGGAGTCATAATGTAAACGACTCCCTGCTGTATGGGGAGATTTTCTGGAAAGAAATACGAAGTAGGGAGACGAGTAAATGCAATCAGAATGGATGTTAGTTGCCGTCAGTATAATAATAATAAGAAGAAGAAGAAGAAGAAGAACGCCCGTGATCGGCAGAGTCAGCGCCGGTCCCAGGAAACGTCAGGACAGACATCCCGTCGACTCCAGAACGCCCGTCATCGGCAGAGTCAGCGCCGGTCCCATAGCTATGCAGAAGACGTTACTTGTACTTCAGTATCTCATTGAAACGTTTTTGCAAAACAATGATTTAGCTAATCAAAGGAAAAAGCATTTCCATCAGTTCTAACAACATGCACGATGAGCTAGGCAACAAAGCATAGCGCAGGGCCCTGAGCTTCCAAGCTCTCTCGTTTGGTATTTGTGTGTTTGTTTGTTTGTTTGTGTCACGCCTGGCGCTATCCGTATCTGACGGCAAAAAAGCATAGGATGTTATAAATTTTTCAAATCTCCTATTTTTTTCAGGCATATCCTGGGATTCGAACCCGCACTATCGCCCTACATGCATTCCCCCATACACTTCGCATTCATACCCATTCTTCAAAGTTGCTTCACGTTATGATCTTGCGTTTGAAAGCCCTATTTGAATATTGCGGGCAGCTGTATGTGGCCAGCTGTGTTTGATGGCACGGTCCGGTACGGGAGACGGTGTTGTATTACCCTCGATCGTACCTGTCCCGTACCTATCCCCTACCGTACCGTGCCATCAAAGACGGCTGGCCACAATGCATATTCAAATAGGGCTTTCAAGTGCAAGATCACAATGTGAAACAACTTGGAAGAATTAGTATGTATGCGAAGTGTATGGGGGGATGCATGCAGGGCGCGCGATAGTGCGGGTTCGAATCCCAGGTTATGTCTTAAAAAAAGGAATTTTTTAAAGAATTTATAAAATCCCTATGCTTTTTTTTCTAGGTCATCAAGGCAAAAAGGCATAGCGTAGGGCCCTGAGCTTCCAAGCTCTCTCGTGGACTTTTTACACATAATCACCAAAAATATTTCCATTTAATGCCATTTTAGTTAGCAGTAGGTCTGGAAATAGACATAATTATGACAAAATCATTGCACGAGAGGGTTAGGACTATCTTTCTGCTATCTCGGATATTGTGTAAGATTTGATGGAGTCAATTATTTCCAGGTGAATATCAAAGAAAAGAGTGAATTTCCCAAGGGCTAGTTGACCCCAAAAATATTATGCATCACTTTAGTACTTACTCAAGTCGCATCAAAATCCTTATCAGCGGGCTCCAGGCTGTAGAACGCCTCCAGTGGGTCTGAATGTTCGACAACGTAGGCCATTACTTCTTCAAGGCAAGGAATCGTCATCTACTGTTTTATTTTCTGAGTGATGTTCCGCCAGTCGCAAAGTACTGATATGATTGCATTGATGCCGTTCACCAGGAAGTAGTAAAATACCTACCTATAAAGTTCTTTGAGTAGTAAAATACCTACTCCGCGAACGGCTCACAATCGATCGATTTGGCTTTTCTTTTTTTTGCGCGATCGATCGATAGTTGCGCGATCGATCGAGCGTTGCGCGATCTGTCGATCACCAGATCGCGCAGCGCCACACCCGGCCAAATCGATCGATCGCGCAGCCAAATCGATCGATGTGGCAGATATAGATCATGCCATCCCTATGTGTATCTCTGTGCGTTTTTGCCGGTGTTGGCACCATGATGGTTTGTGGCTATTTTGTAAAAAAAAAATGTGAAGCCGCGGTACGCGCACGCGGTCCCATCTTCACGAGATCCAACAAGATTTTGGACGCGGTTTTGAAGGCAAAGAAGATGGCGCCTCTCCAACTGGCGCCATGGCCCATGGACACGACCCTCACGAACATTCTGCTTTTGGCATCGAGTGGGGCGATCGTGCGAGTAATCAGTTACTAGTAGCATGCGCTAAAATTGTAGGCTAGCAATAGCTGCTACTGCGAACGCGACACCGTTCCAAACATTAACAGCGATGCTTCAAAAGCAATGAAATTATTACTGTCTTGTACAAATTACAATGTTGCACCTACGCGTATATGGCTATTTATGCCATATTCCCACAAGTAATACATTGCGTCATGTCATGCGCCGCATGCGGCATACGCAGCGCAGACTGTAAACAGATTGGTCAACTCTGTGAGTCAGTGCAGTCTCCATATATCGGCGGCCATGGCTGCTGTATCATGAAGAATGCACAGAATGTTTCCGTACTAGCAGCTGTTAGTATTTCCCGCGCTTGTCTTACTTGGCTACAATTCTCTCCGCTCCAACCACCTTGGCCCAGTTTACATGGTAGCGCAACCGGTCGACACCTGCTCCATATCCGGGCCGCCAGGCTGATTGTCTCCTCTACCTAGTTCTGTCAAAGCCAAAGGCGTCCCTACCCCCGGCCGTGGCTGTAGTGTAGCTAATGACCATGGCGTCCATCCCGTCGACGAATTCAAGACCTCTCTTGTTCCTTGTACTGGCTATTGCAGTGGCTTATAGCGCTGGTAAGTGGAAACTGCTTCCCCCTTTTAGTACACTGCTTCTAATCGGTAACGACCGTGATGTTCTTCGGTTTTCTGCCATAAGACTTTGCTTTTTGGCCATCTTGGAAACTACAATGTATAATTCTGTTTCGAAGTTGCAGTTCCTGACTACGAGGGGCCAGTGCAAACGCGCCTCGAAAGACATTTCCGGTCTTCTTCTCCTCTGGCAAGCCGTTGCCTGTTGCCATGCTGGTTATGGGGCACTGATTCCTTCTGCACTCCCCTATCAGGGAATTTCGAATTTGTTCGACCATTCCCCATGTTTCGATAGCAAAGAACGATTTGCGCCCGAGCAGAAGGCTTGTTTGGTGGATTTTATTTGAACTCGCAAGCCCAGCGCTCCTTGTGAGGTATCTTCTTGCTTCGGCTCGCAAAGACCAGTACATCGGATTTTTGTTTACGGTTTCTAGGACATCGGGTGAAGTGTAGCGGATGTGCCGTCACACTAGCACTGTAGATTCAACGCATCGTCGGCTGGGCGCATCATCTTCAACTTTATTATTATTAATTTTTACAATTCTCCTGGCCTTGACTATCTAGCTAGTCAAGGCCAGGAGAATTGTAAAATATAGCTAGGGCTTGTATTGGCCGGCCTCGTTACTTTGTCACCTGTGTGTGCGGTCTTTGCGGATAGAACAGGAACGAGAGAGAAAGCGGAAGGTCTAGCGACATTGTGGCGGCTTTACTTGCACTTTTCGGTGAAATAGCTGCTGCTGCCGCCGCAGCGCGGGCTTGGGTTGTGTTGAAGGAAGACGATCGCTAGCTCAGCAGACAACAGCAGTAGGACGGACCGCGGGCACTTGCAGTAGTGGCGAGCCACTACAAAGACCACGTACTGGTACTAGTAGTTGATACTGCAGTACATGTACAATGTAGATCGCGTAGATCTACAGGGCTGCAGTTTCATTTTCCACCTCCACACTGCCCTTCATTAGGGATCTCAGCGCGTGAACTGCGCAGCCAGTCTGCGCAGGTGAGATTTTCGATCCCAATATGCAAACGCGTCCATGATCCATCCAGTGCAGAAATCGTGGAAAAGAACATTTTTTCGAAATAAATCAAGTTGAAGACGACAGTAGAAATGGCTGAATATTGCGTCCAGGAAAGCACGTTCTACGGCCATCTCCAAGCTACCTATCTCCCAGACACTCTCTCAGAGGAACTATGGAGGGTCAAAGAGCATGCAGTGAGTGTTCAATGGTAAAAAAAAAAAAAAAAAAAAAGAGCACAATCTTTCACTCTTGGACGCAGCGTGAACACCTCTTGTACTGAGCGCGATGTCTTCTCTCTGAGTGATAATGGCGGCGATGTTCGCGATGGCTGATGCACTGAAAATCGAAGTTAGGACAATCTAACCGGAGAAAACGTCTGAATTTTTGACTGAATCCTCTCTGAAGTGGGTTCTTGCCGCATGGCAAATTATAGGAAAATCGACCGGGGCGATATCGCCTTGGCCACGCTGTCCTTCGGCGGGAATTACAAAGTATGTTCGAACGATGATGAAGATGACGATTCCGCTAGTGTCGAAAATCGACCGTCGCCATTTTCTGCTGTGTCCGCGAGGCTGCACTCAAAACTCGATGACGCAATGTATGCGCAAACACCCTGTGCACTGCACGCGCTGAGATCCCTACCTTCATGCTGGCTGCCAAACATGATAGTCAGAGTAAAACAACAGGATTTCCTACTCATATTGGTGACATGTGACTTTATCCGTGCAGAGTCAAGCAGTGAAAACAGTAGTGAGGTTTTGCATTCCGAAATTCGGCAAAAGATTCGGCACGCGGGAGCGAGGTTGAAAATGCACTCGAAGATTTGGCGTGTTTGTTCGGAAAAGGCTCACTTTGCCGAATGTATTTTTCGGAAGAAATTTCTTGTAGAAGAGCGCTAGCGCGTGATTTATTCAAAGACGTTTCTGATCTCAGCATCGCTTCGCAGGCGTCTTTGGCGACATCAGCATCGTCAGCTACCTCTGATTGCTCCTATCCACTGCCTGTCTACTCTCTTTCGCCTGCAGTGTCCTCACCATCATCGGTGTGGCTGAAAAGACGAGGCGATATGCATAAAATTTGACTTGGCCATGGAGTTAGTTCTTCTGAGGCAACTGAGGAGGCAGATTTGGCCCTCGACTCTTTGGGCGATCAAAGGTTCGTTGGAATCAGCAAGAAAAGGAACACGGGACAGGAAATTGCTGATGCTGGAACTCACGAAATGAAAACACATGATCTTCGACTTGCAAAACAAACGTTCGTTCAAAACAATTTGACATCTGATGTCGACAAATGAGCAAAGAACGCCGAACCGAAATTCAGAATGCAAAACCTCACTAATGTGCAATGACAGAAGTGAATGAAGGATGAAAGACTCTATTGTTCTTTTTCACTATTTCCTCCTTCTTTCATTAGTTTGAGGGAAAGGTGTAGGGGAAAAGTCTGAAGAAAAAAACCCTGTCACCACCATAACTCGAACCAGGGACTCTCGCTTATGGCCAGCGATGCTCACTAAGCTATGGCGTAGTCGTCATCCAAGCAGCGACCGTTCAAACATTTCCCTCAGACTTCGAGACCCACGCTTCCTGTGTATGATCCAGACATCCCTCTTTCATTTTTTGTTATTGCGTATTGTTTCCACCGCGTGACGCTGAACAAATGAAGTACATGGATTCACGTGTTGATTCAGCTTGTCCTCTTGATTGAATAATACAATAATAATAATAGTTATTGCTGTCTCCTCGCCGTCTGTTTACATATGGGAGATGTTCTGTATTTTGAAACTCAGAAGTTTTGACGGAAATTAAATGCGAGAGTTGAAATTCTGCTTTTTGATTAGTGTGTGATCTGCGGTCGTAGCTGAACACTTGCACTAGATCACCCCTCATTCCTCAAGGAATGTTTTGTTTTTTCACGGCTGAGCGTAGCGAAAGAGTGCAAAAAACGTATTTTTCACTCACAAATATTTTCGTGCATTTGCTCTTGTTCTGCGCAACTCCGTTGAACCTGCTATCGTGGTCTTTGTTTTTCCTCGTGGTAGTTGAAGTTGCCCGCCCACCCACCCTGGTTTCATGGGAGTCGTCCGCTGTCTATGCCTATGTGTGTGGCTTATGATTATGACATACACCGGTTATTACATACCATTTCTTGCTACCTCTATTCTTGGGTCCGACTGGCAGCGGGGCAGGAATTAATGAAATAGAAAGGTTTTTTGGCCGACAGGCGTGTTTTTCCTCTAGCCCGGTTGAGCGGTCGCGGCTAGGAATGTAGGGAGTCATTGTTTTTCAGGTGCTCCCCTGCTGCCCAGTCACCCATGCTCACCGGCACTGGCCATGCTGTTTCACTTGATTTCACAGCCTTTTCTCCCGCTTGTTGGCGGTTCTTTGATGGATTTAGATGTTTTTTCGGCTATTTATCTATTATGTGGCTGCAAGTGTGGTTCTTTGCTTCTACTCATTTCTGGCCAGGCAGGCACAGTGGGTTGGTCAAAGACCATGATTGAGATACGAGAGGTACCTGGTTCAAGTCCTGCCTGGGAGCGGTTTTTCCAGCCGTGCTGCTACCCACAGTCAACTGGGAACTTGTGGCCAGGCACAAGGGGTACATGGATGCAGCTAATGGGGTCGTTTTCGGCACTTGGGCCAGTGGTTGTGAGACATATCCACTCTGCCACACCGTTAGGTGCTGCATCTGCCGCTAGGATTTATCGGGTGTTAGCGGCCGTCGTGAGTTCCCTTCGGGAACGGACACGATAATTTACTTTACTTACTCATTTCTGGAAAACCACCACGGTGGTGAGTGTGATTGCTCTGGTAGACCACTACTGAACAGTTGCTTTGTGAGTGAAAAACGTGTATCTTTCACTTCTCGGACTTCTGCTTTTAATTGAATCTGCTCATATTCTGTCTAACACCAGCTCTGCCATCCAGGGAGCGGGTGCCATCTATCAATGATAATGATGGTGATGGCACATACCACAAGCGTGCTGTAGACCCTGCTGATCTACCAGGTCAGTATACTACAAGTAGCTTGTATCACCATGATATGAACCCCGCAATCTGCAACACACTGTTGCTTATTCTACCCCCCCCCCCCCCCCCCCCTCCCTCACATGGGCATGGTCTCAAGGAAGTGTGGTACATATAATTTTGTGGAATCAGATGGATTAGCGAAATTTAGTTAATCCGGAAACAAAAACTTTGTGACTTTTTATTATTCTAATGAGTTGCCGTGTTCAAGAAAGGAAATTAAATTTTAGCTCAGTGGAACAAAAACACTTCAAGACAACGACTGGATACACTTCAGTGAAGGACGTCAACTGTCATACAAAAGAAATCGGGCTGAGTCTCACTCGGAGTCGCTATCACTCGATTCCGCAGAGCTCAATTCTCCAGGGCTGACAGGTCGATCGAAGTCACAAAGTGTTTTTGTTTACGAAGGCAGTACATTAATTAACATGCTAGCACTGCTTTGCACGTGCTCATTGTTCCACATGCCGTAAAAAGGGTTCTGGACTTCTGGCTAGCTTTCCGCGCCTACACAGTGAACATGTAAACAGTACCACTTACAGTCAACTTCGCTAATAACGACTGCGGATATAACGACAATTCGCGAATAACGACCGAATTTCCATGCCCAGAGCAAAGTCCCATCTAACCGTATACATTTAACTTCGGATATAACGACTATCTGAATAACGACAATTCGCGTATAGCGACATGCTTTTAGTGCCCCGTGGTCATATTCACTGCTTGAATAACGACTTTCTGGGCTTTTGACAGCTATTTCAAGTACCTGTCAGTCAAGTACATGTACCTGTCATGCAGAAGTACCAGAACCTATGGTGCACTGCACTGGTGATGGATATTATTGCACACATGCCAGAAAATGCAGCCAAGGGGGGGGGGGGCTTTTCTTCCTTTTTTTATGTTGGCTTCAAAATTGTTGGATTTACCAGCACACCTATATGTATACAATGTACATGTAGTTGTACATGATTGTACAGTAATCATCATACATGTACATATCTCTAGCCCTGTAGATGGCTCAAAAAGGCATATTTTTCAATTGATTTCCCTTGCATATTGAATTTTTAGTTCCTTTCAACTGCAATATGAAAATAAAGTACACATTGACATAGAGCAAGAAAAGAGCTTGATTTTGATATGCATATCATACTATACAAAATATGGGTTCCCATACATTCAAATGGGACTTCGGTTATAAGGACACTTCGCGAATAAGGACACTTTTCTGATGCCCCGCCGAATGTCGTTATTGGCGAAGTTGACTGTAATTGCCAGCACAACGTGAAATGTGTGTGCAAGATACTTGTCGTATGACAAGACACCACCTCCAAAACACGGCCCCGCCTCCAAAACATGACGACCCCACCTCCAAAACATGACGACCCCGCCTCCAAAACACGACCCCGCCTCAACAAAACGCCAACACCGCCTCAAAAAAACGCCGACCCCGCCTCCAAAAATACGACGACCCACCTCCAAAGCACGGCCCCGCCTCCAAAGCACGACCCCCACCTCCAAAACACGGTCATGAAAGGGTGGCACTCTAGCGTTACTTTACGGTATGTGTGCCAAGCTAATCACACTGTTTGAACTGTATCACTTTCCAAAAGCTCTAAAAACTAGGGGTGAAACGATTATACCGAATACTCGAAATAGAAATTGTTACTTGTACAAGGTAACAAATCGATTATTCGAATAGTTTCGATTACTTGACTATTCATCCAGTATACATGATTATAAACGGATGACTCTAGATCGAACAGCCATGTGCAAGAAAAATTTCTTCTCCACAGGATCAATTTTCAAATTCTAAATTTTCGCATTTTTCACCTTCCAATACTGCTTTTATCAGTGGAAGAAATAATCAAAAAATAACCGATGACCGATCGATAAAGGTTTCGGTTATTCGGTAGTCAAAAAGTGTAATTGTTTCACCCCTACTAAAAAACGGAATACGGACAGTGTTGGTCCAATTAGCAAGGTGTACGCGTGGTGATATTGCATACAGACTTGCCGAAGACTAAGCATAGAGGTCTTACCAGAGTTTGTCTTTCTCCAGATGTGTCTGTTGTTCCGAGGTTCGTCCCATCCAGCCATGCTCACTTTGATGACAACAGTTTCTATTTGGGTGTGTTGCAAATTGCAGGGGATGATGAAGACAGTTGGATTGCTTCATCTGGTGAGGGGCATGCCATATCAGCTGAGAAGGAGAACATACGGCATATGGAAGAATCCAGAGGAGGAGCGGAAGAAGGTAGCTTACACGTGATAACATTAGATAGGCTCACTTTGATGATAACGGTTTCTATTTGGGTGTATTGCGAATTGCAGAGGATGATGAAGACAGTTGGATTGCTTCATCTGGTGAGGGGCATGCCATATCAGCTGAGCAGAAGAACATAATATGGCATGCAGGAGAATCCAGAGGAGCAGCAGAAGAAGGTATTCCACGTGATAACATTAGATTTATCTTGCCTTTGCACTGGGTTTCCAAGGGGATGTTTTTGCCAGGCATCATTAACTGCAACAATTCACCCTCTTGCCGTGGTAAAAAGAGCACAGGAGCATCTGGTTTGGGACCAACATCACCAACATAACCATCCCTTTTACATCTGTTGTTAATTAAGGCTTCATGGAATTGAGAAAATTGTTCAATGTTCTGTGCATTAGAGAGTATAACGTGTGTCGTAATCTGGCATTCACCCTTCTCTCTCTCTCTCTCTCGCTCTCTCTCTCTCTCTCTCTCTCTCTCTCTCTCTCGCTCTCTCTCTGCCCAAGCTTTCTTGGTCTTTCCAGGTTCTTGAACTCACACAAGGTTTTGTACGTGAACTGCACTTTATGTGTTTACCATTTCTGAAGAAATGGTCAGGCCTACCTCGATGCGCAAACTCTGCCATTCTTTTTATTGGCAGTCGCAAACGCTTTGGCTTACGCCTCCACTACCTTCCTACGGTGTGGAAAAAGTGCCAGTCCATCAAATGGCACATTCTTCGATCGAGTGGGGACGCGCGCATGAGGGCGCTGTACACTCTGCGTCGGAGTAAGGATGCGAAGCTGACAAAGCGATATGCGGCGACAATAGAGCTGGAGTGTGCAGAGGCATCAGTAGGTTCAGGGACTCTCCGTCCACCGTCATCTTCAAGTCATCGTGCAGGGTTGGGTGCTCGTGCTCCGAAGCAGCATTCCAAACCCCCGAGGAAGGATCTCCTTCAAACATTTGAGGAGATCAACGCGCAGGAGCAGATTTTGAGGCTGAAGACTCTTCAGGTGCAAGGCAAGTGGTTGGAGTGGACATCGGTGATGTGGCAGGACCTCTCGTGGAAATCCCTTTTGTACGGTGGTACTGGTAAGGATTTGAAATTTCTTCTCGCATCAACCCTCGACGTGCTACCTTCTCCGACGAACCTACGCCGTTGGGGAAACACCGTAGTGGATCCGTACTGTAGTTTGTGCCGTACCTGGGCCTGTACTACGCGCCACGTGCTTGGCGCTTGTCGCGTAGCGCTGGACCAGGGACGTTACACCTGGAGGCACGACAACGTACTCGGGGTCATCGTCAGGAACATGCGTGAGGAGATTCGAATCCGCACTGCTGCAAACACCGTACAAACCGAAAATTCAAATGAGCTTGACTTCATCTCGTTTTGCAAGGCGGGAGAGAAGCCAGTTCGCGTTCAGCCCAGACGAAAGTTGGTTACGACTGATCTCCTGTCAGCGGCCTCAGACTGGAAACTTCTTGTCGACTCAGTTAGTGCAAAGATTTCTTTCCCTAGCTGTGTTGCACTTACCACCCTAAGACCAGATATAGTTCTGTACTCTACGAGTCGTAGGATTGTATTCTGGATGGAGTTGACAGTTTGTGCTGAGGACAGATTCAGTGTCAGTAACTCGCGGAAGGACAGGCGGTATGCGGATCTGGCCGATCAATGCCGAGCAAACGGGTGGCAGGTCGTTTCTTTTTCGGTTGAGGTGGGTGTGCGTGGTTTCATCCCGGACTCTCTTCGGAGGGCTCTGAAAGCGCTTGGATTTTCTAATCGAAGAATAAAATTTATTTGTAATTTGTGCAGTAAGACGTCTCTGCGAAGCAGCTACATCATCTGGTTGCGGCGTCAACAAAAACACTGGTCGGAAGATCCACTTTTCTGAGGTACTGTATGTGGGGCTCCGTTTATTGAGGTGCGTTGAAATTTATTCTCTTTATCTTATTATTTCTTTTCTATAATTTCCCCATATGAGTTCCTATCAGTTGCTGTGAACACCTTGAGTGGAGAGCGCTTGCTCGAGCGTTGAACCGGGTTCTTAATCCACCATACCCAGTTCGCAAGGCTGGGCGGGGTTGTGAGCAGGCTTTCATTTCATCTTTTCCTATTATTTCTTATTATTTCTGCTTTTCATCTCATTACAAAAATTCTGCGCTTTTTCTCCATCTGCGCATAAAATCTAGACTGACAACCTGCTTGTTAAATCATGCACCTGCTTTCAGGCGTAAAAACCCTGTTGTAGAGGTCTCAGTCCTCATTTGTTAGACTTACCTGTCTTTATAAATGTAACTTACTCTCTCTCTCTCTCTCTCTCTCTCTCTCTCTCTCTCTCTCTCTCTCTCTCTCTCTCTCTCTCTCTCTCTCTCTCTCGCTCGCTCGCTCGCTCGCTCGCTCTATCTACCGTATTTTCCGGGGTATAAGCCGCACTTTTTTTCGCTAAAAATCAGACCAAAATCGCCCCTGCGGCTTATACACCGAGTATGCTTGCGCGAATGAATGGTAAGCATACATCAGTATGCATGCTGACGTCATGTGACATGTCATTCGACTCAGCTTCGCGCCTGTGTTGCTGATCAACATCAGTGGCAGCGAGACTGAAAATAGTGCAGATGACATGGAGTGATCTGTAGTCAACACAGCAATACACCAACATCTCTGCAGCAACCTGTGGTGCACTAACACTTCATAATCTGATCTAACATGGTATTTAGCTCCATAACCATAATAAATTTGTAGAAAGGCCAAATAATATTTTGTCAATGAGTGTGAAAAATCTTGGTTTGTGGGTGCGGCTTATACTCCGAATACAAACTTTTAGTCAATATTTTGCCACAAAAAGGGGGGTGCGGCTTATACCCCGGAAAATACGGAATCTCTCTCTCTCTCTCTCTCTCTCTCGTTCGTTACATCTCCAACCAAAGAACCAACGGTGGAGAGCTGCCAAACAAACATTAGAATATGACTAAACGAATCCAAGGCCCGCAACTAATAATCAAAGAGTCACAAAATTAAAATAGAAGAAGTATCTATTACAAGACCATTCGACTCACCAACCCGAAGACTACAACTGACGAGAGAGCTTGGAAGCTCAGGGCCCTACGCTATGCTTTTTTTGCCTTGATGACCTAGACAAAAAAAGCGTAGGGATGTTATAAATTCTTTAAAAAATTCCTTTTTTTTTAGACATAACCTGGGATTCGAACCCGCAATATCGCGCGCCCTGCATGCATCCCCCCCCCCCCCCCATACACTTCGCATACATATAAATTCTTCCAAGTTGCTTCACGTTATTATCTTCCATTTGAAAGCCCTATTTGAATATGCATTGTAGCCAGCCGTCTTTGAATGTACGGTACGGGATAGGTACGGGACAGGTACGATCGAGGGTAATACGACACCGTCTACCGCCTTGATGACGGCAAAAAAAGCATAGGGATGTTATAATTTTTTCAATTCTCCTATCTTTTTTTCAGGCATATCCTGGGATTCGAACCCGCACTATCACCCTACATGCATTCCCCCATACACTTCCCATTCATACCCATTCTTCCAAGTTGCTTCACGTTATGATCTTGTGTTTAAAAGCCCTATTTGAATATTGCGGCCAGCTGTATGTGGCCAGCTGTATTTGATGGTACGGTCCGGTACGGGACAGATACGGGATAGCGCCAGGCGTGACACAAACACACAAATAAACAAACAAACACACAAATACCAAATTAAAGCTGTGTGGACCCTGGCTAGCCCCAGACGTTACTGAAGTAACGTCTTCTGCATAGCTACGGGAACGAGAGAGCTTGGAAGCTCAGGGCCCTACGCTATGCTTTTTTGCCTTGATGACCTAGACAAAAAAAAACATAGGGATGTTATAAATTCTTTAAAAAAATCCTCTTTTTGTTTAAGACATAACCTGGGATTCGAACCCGCACTATCGCGAGCCCTGCATGCATCCCCCGATACACTTCGCATACATACTAATTCTTCCAAGTTGTTTCACATTGTGATCTGACGGCAAAAAAGCATAGGATGTTATAAATTTTTCAATTCTCCTATTTTTTTTCAGGCATTGTTGTGAAACCACAAGTTCTCGAGAGTGAAAGGCCTTCTCGCTTGTGACATTGTGTTCGTTTCAATGCAGTTGTATCCCGACTCCGCCGTACCACTGATGATTACGACGTAGTATACGCTACATGCGCTATGTGCGGTTTGCTGTGTGCGCTGTAGTTGTATGTTGTATGCGTATGCTTTTCTCATATACGCTGTCATTTTCACGCTATAACTACCTGGTGGTTTTAGTGTTAGTTATTCAGTTGTTCATTCATTCATTCATTGTTCATTGTTATTAGTCGATGGAAGTGAAATATACTGTTGAGAATAAATAGTTGTCCTCGTGCCGTGTGGGGTCGTTCGTTCCTGACACTTTAGAGAACCAGAGGGTTCACAACATTTGGCGACCACGCCAGGATACAAAGCGAGCATGGCACAGGAACTATGGATCATTGAAGCCAGCTTTATCGCTAACGGAATTCGGTATGGATTTGAATGCGATAGGTTGAGAGAATACGTGGAGAAGAGGCTCCGACAGAGCGAGGAGTTTGAAGAGCGCAGTGCTAGACGGCAAGAGGGTGCGCTCCGCACAGAGTTTAACGAAAAGCTCAAGAAGATGGACGAGCGCATCGCCGTCAGTACATATTATGAGGAAGCAAAGCGAGATTTGCTTGCCTCGCCCGGGAGGACGCCGGACAAGGCGTGTAAGACTTTGCTTACAGACAAGCAGCGGTCAGAAGAGTATTTGAAGCCAGTGGGAGGATCGGATCCAAGGCCCACTGCTTCGGTACAGAGCATGGCGACATCGGTCGGAGACGCTCAGAAACAGCTGGAGTCTTGGCCGAACGACGTAGAAGCGCAAGACGTAGAAGCGCAAGACGTAGAAGCGCAAGACGTAGAAGTGCAAGACGTAGAGGCGCAAGACGTAGAGGCGCAAGACGTAGAGGCGCAAGACGTAGAGGCGCAAGACGTAGAGGCGCAAGACGTAGAGGCGCAAGACGTAGAGGCGCAAGACGTAGAGGCGCAAGAGTTAGAGGCGCAAGAGTTAGAGGCGCAAGAGTTAGAGGCGCAAGACTTAGAAGCGCAAGGCGTAGAAGCCGAAAAAATGAGAAGGGCGATACTGGTTAGCACGGAAGAAGTAAGCGGCGAGACTGTGTGGAACACGGAGATCGAATGTAGGTTATCTGGTCCAGCGTCCGCCCCACGAGGCAGTGGCCCAGTGACTGTGTTGTGTGTGACAGCCCAGATCGGCACGCTTGGTGTTGAGACTGTTGAGGTGAAGCCGTTCGGTGCGGAATCAAGCCAACAGCGGATGGACAAGTTCGCCATCAATATCCTGGGTAGCTCCGCAGTCATTCCGGTATGTGCTCTCGTGAAGCGAACGTTAGAGCTTCATCTAAAGTGCGCAAGCCCGCAGACCATTGCTCAGTTGGCAGAAATGGTGAGCACTCGTAATATTCCACCTTGGCCACCGCCACAGCAGCGGATGACTCGTTCTGGGCATGTAGTCAGAGCCCCGATCGTTTTGACTTAGAAGTTGTTGTGCGGCGGTGAGAAGCCCTTTGGTGGGGAGAATGTTGTGAAACCACAAGTTCTCGAGAGTGAAAGGCCTTCTCGCTTGTGACATTGTGTTCGTTTCAATGCAGTTGTATCCCGACTCCGCCGTACCACTGATGATTACGACGTAGTATACGCTACATGCGCTATGTGCGGTTTGCTGTGTGCGCTGTTGTTGTATGTTGTATGCGTATGCTTTTCTCATATACGCTGTCATTTTCACGCTATAACTACCTGGTGGTTTTAGTGTTAGTTATTCAGTTGTTCATTCATTCATTCATTGTTCATTGTTATTAGTCGATGGAAGTGAAATATACTGTTGAGAATAAATAGTTGTCCTCGTGCCGTGTGGGGTCGTTCGTTCCTGATACTTTAGAGAACCAGAGGGTTCACAACAGGCATATCCTGGGATTCGAACCCGCGCTATCGCGCTACATGCATTCCCCCATACACTTCGCATTCATACCCATTCTTCCAAGTTGTTTCACATTGTGATCTTGCATTTGCAAGCCCTATTTGAATATGCATTGTGGCCAGCCGTCTTTGATGGCACGGTACGGTAGGGGGTAGGTACGGGACAGGTACGATCGAGGGTAATACGACACCGTCTCCCGTACCGTACCATCAAACACAGCTGGCCACATACAGCTGCCCGCAATATTCAAATAGGGCTTTCAAACGCAAGATAATAACGTGAAGCAACTTGGAAGAATGGGTATGAATGCGAAGTGTATGGGGGAATGCATGTAAGGCGATAGTGTGGGTTCGAATCCCAGGATATGCCTGAAAAAAAATTGAAAAATTTATAACATCCTATGCTTTTTTGCCGTCAGATACGGATAGCGCCAGGCGTGACACAAACAAACAAACAAACAAACACACACACAAATACCAAATTAAAGCTGTGTGGACCCTGGCTAGCGCCAGACGTTACTGAAGTAACGTCTTCTGCATAGCTACGGGAATTAAAATTTAATTTCAGGGCGTACCTCCCCTTTAAAAAATGGGTGTGTTCTATTTCATTGGTGTAGCTTTTTCACCTGCTCTACATATACATTGTAGCTCGCCACCAGGACAGCCCGACCACCGAAGCTACCAGAGGTTGGCAGATATTCAGCTTACACACAACAGGTGAGTCAACATGCTGGCATCTTTGCTGGCTTGACTCAAATATGTGTCACTATAGCAAGGCTGTATTTGCTACGAAAAAAGAATTCCCCAGTCCGCTTGCCCATTGTAATCATTGAGGTTTGAGCCTGTCCTGTTGACTTAGAACAATAGGTTTCACTGGCTCTGGCTCTACAAACTGAAATTTATTAAATTTCAACCGCAGTGAGGAGAGGGAGGGACAGAGGGGGAGGGGGGTGGAAGGAAGGAGGGAGGGAGGGAGAGACAGACAGACAGACAGACAGACAGACAGACAGACAGACAGACAGACAGACAGACAGACAGACAGACAGACAGACAGACAGACAGACAGACAGACAAACAGACAGAGAGAGAGAGACACACACACACACAGAGAGAGAGAGAGAGAGAGAGAGAGAGAGAGAGAGAGAGAGAGAGAGAGAGAGAGAGAGAGAGAGAGAGAGAGAGAGAGAGAGAGAGAGAGAGAGAGAGAGAGAGAGAGAGAGAGAGAGAGAGAGAGAGAGAGAGAGAGAGAGAGAGAGGGAGGGAGGGGGGGGGAGACAGACAGAGAGACAGATAGAGAGACAGACAGAGAGACAGATAGAGAGATGGACAGAGACAGACAGGGAGAGAGGGGAGAGGGTCGGAGGGGGGCGGGAGAAATAGAGAGAGATGAGAAGAGAGAATCGTTCCAGGTAGGTGGGTGAAGAATGGATGAGCAAAATACTGCACTACTTTTTCTGGGTAGGCGGATGTACAGTTGAATCTGCATTTCACGACCACCTCACGTTGTACAGACACTGGTCTTTGTAAATGCGTGGTGGTCTTTCAACACAGGTCAAGCAATGTATGTAGAAACACGGTAAGAGAGTCGTGACATGACTGGTCTCATAAGACAGGTGAAATGATGGGAGTGAAATACCGATTTCTCTTGATGCCCTGTTGAGGCACTACAGTATTAAAAAATCATAGTTTGCGTGAGACTTGGCTGGAGGGCAAGTTTTCCGTATCCGTAGCAACGCCACCACCCTCTATGGATCAAGGAGCAGATGCAGCTCCTAAAGTGGTGGGAGGTGAGTAGATCAGACCCACCGCAAAGCGGTGAAAGACCGAAAATCCCATTCTCTGCATCTACAGTAAACGCATCTTTTAAACGACCGTTCAAGGGATCCGTAAAAGGGGTTAAATTATAGTACAGGTAGACTCGTTTTAATTCGAACCTCAAATTGCCAGGCCCTAACTTCGAATTATCCGGAACTTCGAATTATCCAAATGCAACCCCATGCACTGATATGTATGTCAAAATGCTTGAAATCGCATGCTGAATATTTTTTGCACATTTTTATTTGCATCAACGAAACATAGGTGGTCGTACCGGTACGCGGTCATGTACAACGGATCATCAAAACACTGGATTGACACAAAATCATTTTGACATGATCTTCATCTTCTAGTGAAGAAGGGGTCAGTCACTGCAGCTTTCCTGAAACAATTTCAACGGAAAAGAACTGCACTGCCTAATCCGTGTCATGAAAGGCCGTTGGACAGCAGCACTTCGTTCTGAAGAACGGAAGTGGAGCAAAGGCATAGACAATATTTACGACAATAGTGTTGTTGTGCGCCAACATCTCCGCGCACGAGCTGGCGCAGTAAGAAAGGCCATCGAGATCCGCGAAGAGAGTCAGCCACCTGGAAGAAGTCGTCTTCAATCAAACCTTTGCAATTTGCCTCGCACGGGCTTGAATCAAATTTCGAGAGAAGGTGGGTTTCTTGAACGCTATAGTCGAACCTGCAGCGGACCATCGATCGATTTTTGAGCTACTCTTGGCTAGAGAAGGAGAAAAGAATGAACTTCGAATCACAAGGATAGCAACTCAATCTCACTTCGAAATAAGCGTTCAAAGGACATAGCCAATGTACTGTAAACAGCTCTTCTGTACGAAGACTGCGTTCGAATTATCCAACCGGCGCACTTTTCGTACTTCGAATTATGCATTCGATTTTCAATTGAAGTGACTTGCAGAAGATCGGTACGACGAAAAGTTCGAATTACACGGAATGTTCGAATTATACCGTATTCGAATTAGAGGGAGTCTACCTGTATAAAAAACCTCCAGTCATCTGCGTGTTCTAAAAAGCAGGTTATATTTCTGGTAATCACTCATATAAAAAACCTGGTGCTGTAAAAAAACCTGTACAAAAAACCTGGTGCAGTAAAAAACCTGTATAAAAAACCTGGTGCTGTAAAAAACCTGGTGCTGTAAAAAACCTGGTGCTGTAAAAAACCTGGTGCTATAAAAAACCTGGTGCTGTAAAAAACCTGTATAAAAAACCTGGTGCTATAAAAAAAACCCTGGTCTTATCCAGTCTATTTTGACTGGAAAAGCGTGTGTGACAAGAAAAAGTGGTCTTGGTTGAGTGGTCGCCTTTACAGATTTCACTGTACTGCATTTGGAATAGTAATCGTGGTAATGATGTTTTATTCCGATAGATCCTTCCGTCATCAATGAAGAGTACAATGCGATCTTGCCGAGAACAGATCACGATTTGATTGCTAGGGAGCCGGCACAAACAACCAGTAAGTTAATTGCTCTGACTCCTTCAGAACCAGTACAGACCTACATTAGACTGTGTTCCGTTGTTGGAGAATTTGAATTTGAAGCCTTGTCCTGAGTGGGAGCATGGTCGAATTAATTAAAGGGACTTCACTGCTCACGGATCCATAGCTATCGTAGCTCATCTGCTTCGGTCTGGTTTGTAGTGGATGCACATCCCACTGTTTGTCATTGTATCCTTTTATGTAACATGTATGCATTCATCCGGCCGCGCTGTGCGACATGCCAGTTGTACCGTACGCACTTTAGCTGTACCTGCCTGCCTGGCTTTTCCTTTGATGTCTCTGTCGTTCTCTGTATTCCCACACACTTGTGATTTGTAGTAACGAAGCTAGTTACAAGATGTCTTTGGTGCGTTTGTAGAACCACTACATGGTGTCAGAATTGGTTTTCCTGTAGTCTTTGGCCTCGTGAGCGGTGATGGCTCGTTTCAACCCTCCAGCGCCTTTCGACTTCAGCTCACCGGACCAGTGGCCCGCGTGGAAACTCCGTTTCACCCGTTTTCGTGCCGCCACCAAACTGAGTTCCGACCCGGGAGAAACTCAGGTGGCCACTTTGTTGTATGCTCTCGGACCCAACGCCGACTCCTTGTTCGAGTACCAACTCGGACTATCCAAGGACGACAAGAAGAAATATGACGAGGTCGTCAGTGCTTTCGACACGTACTTCCGCCCCTCTACCAATGTTGTTCATGAACGGGCTAAATTTGAACAGCTTGTACAACAACCCGGCCAGACCGTAGAGGAGTTTGTCCGTGCTCTGTACAAAGCTGCAGAGTATTGTGAGTTTGCTGGCACGAAGGATGAGCGTATCAGAGACCGCTTCGTCGCCCACATGCTGGACAAGCGGGTGAGTCGGGAGCTGCAGATGAAAGACAAGAGCGAGCCAACTCTCGCCACAGTTGTTGCGTTCGCACGGCACGCCGAAACTGTCCAGCAACAGGTTGCAGCCCAATCGCGCAGTGGCTTGGCCGCCGCCAGCTCGATTTCAGACGATGATGCCTCAGCCTCAGCTGTCCAGTCGCACCGTGGTGGTCGATCTATGCCGAAGAGCAGACCGCATGGTAGCTACAAATCTGCAGCAACGCCGCCTGCGACCGAATCGAAGTGCCCGAACTGTGGTGGAAGCCACCACTCGCAACGCAATCAGTGCCCAGCCAGAGGCCAGTGCTGCAAAGCCTGTGGCAAGCGCAACCACTTCGCGCGAGTTTGCCGATCGAAACCGTCCACCTCTGCCGTCACGAACGACTCTCCGGACTCTCTATTTGTTGGCCACACGACGTGCGCACAAAGTGTAAGTGATTCACCCTGGTTGGCAGATCTAGCTATCGGAAAGAGTGTAGTCCAGTTCAAGCTAGATACTGGAGCTGATGTCTCTACCATGTCCGTGCAATCATACAATACACTGCAGCCCAAGCCGTCCTTATCTGCTACTAGTGCTCAGCTGAGAGGAGCGAATGACCAGACTATGCAGGTCCTGGGTGTATTTGAGGCTCACTGCTCCTTTCAATCCCAGTCCACTACCATACCCATCTTTGTTCTAGATGGTGCCAGCACTAGCCTGCTCAGCCGATCTGCGTGCACAGCACTGGGTCTAGTCCAGCGTCTGGCTGAAGTGCAAGGTCCAGTCCCACTCGTACAGTGTATGGTTGGCCCTGCTGCGCAGATTCACTTGACTTCCGACGCCACACCGTATCACTGCCTCACAGCTCGCAGAGTTCCTCATCACCTGTATTCGAAAGTACGTGAAGAACTGCACCGCATGGAAGATGGCGACATCATTGCGCGTGTCGACGAACCCACAGACTGGTGTTCGCCTATGGTGCCCGTCCTCAAACCTAACGGCAAGGTACGCATCTGTGTCGACCTGAAGCGTCTTAATGCGTCTGTCAAGCGGGAGACATTTCAGCTGCCAACGTTAGAAGATGCCCTGTCTTCACTGGCCGGAGCGACTGTGTTCACGACATTGGACACTGCTAACGGATTCTGGCAAGTCCCACTCAGTCCCGACTCTGCCCGTTTGACCACCTTCATCACGCCGTTTCGGCAGGTTCTACTTCAAGCGACTGCCATTCGGCATCACATCAGCACCTGAGATTTTCCAGAAGCGTCTCACCAACCTTCTGGACCAGCTCCCCGGCGTGTTCGTCTACATGGACGATATCATTGTCTCTGGCCGTACGCGAGAAGAACACGACCGTAACCTAGCTGCCGTACTAGACATCCTGCAGAAAGCCAACGTCACACTGAACATGACCAAATGTCACAAGCGTCAGGCCGAAGTGAAGTTCCTTGGTCACATCTTCTCCGCCAAAGGTCTCCACCCTGACCCAGCGAGAGTGTCCAGCGTCGCTAATCTGAAGCCGCCCAAGAACGTCACGGAACTGAAGCGCATTCTCGGCATGTTCGCGTTCATGTCACGCTTCATTCCCAATCTCTCGGAAGTCAGCGCTCCACTGCGTCTTCTACTGGGGCATGACACCGCATGGGAGTGGTCTGCTACACAACAACAGGCCCTGGACAAGCTCAAACAGCTTGCCACCAATGCGCCCTGCCTCACGTTCTTCGACCCAACCAAGCCCACGGTCATCAGCGCTGATGCCAGCAGTTACGGCTTGGGAGCTGTCCTATTGCAGGAGCATGACGACGGAATGCGCCCCATTGCATTTGCCTCGCGCAGCCTCACCACTACTGAGCAACAGTACGCGCAGATCGAGAAGGAGTGCTTGGCTGTTGTCTGGGCTTGTGAGCGATTCCACGGCTACATTTACGGCAACTCGTCCCTCACTGTCCAAACGGATCACAAACCACTCATCCCGCTGATCAATACGCGAGATTTGAACCGTGTCCCGATGCGATGTCAACGCCTCCTGATGCGCCTGCTCACGTACAATCCAGCCGCCGTGTATGTCCCTGGCAAAGAGCTAGTTGTTGCCGATGCTCTGTCTCGCGCTCCGCTTGCCTGTGACGACACGCCTAGTCTCCAAGACGAGATCAGCATCAACCTCACATCTTACATCGCTGAGATCGTGTCGGATGGTAAAGCCCGTGACATTGCTGACGCCACCACACAAGATGAGGCGCTCAAGCAAGTCCTCCACTTCGTCCAACACGGATGGCCGTGCAACCCACGTGATGTCGACGACACTGTGCACCCATACTTCCATGAACGCCAGTTACTGTCCTGTGAGCAAGGTGTGCTGTACCATGGTTTCCGCATTATCATGCCACCCTCTCTGCAGCCTGAGATGCTCGAGAAGCTCCACGAGGGACATCAAGGTGCAACGAAGTGCAAGTCTCGCGCCCGCCATTCCATTTGGTGGCCAGGCTTGTCAAGGCAAATCGACACGATAGTCGCTACGTGTGAAGTGTGCACCAAACACCGCGTCCAGTGGACCGAACCACTGCAACCCGTCCAACGCCCAACACTGCCGTGGCACACGGTTGGTGCAGATCTGATGGAATTCAACGGCACGACTTACCTCGTCATTGTTGACTATCTCTCGCGTTACCTCGATGTCGTACCGCTGACTGCCACAACCTCGATTGCTGTCATCAAGCATCTGCACCGCATCTGTGCCGAGCATGGTTTCCCGTCCACCTTGGTTACAGACAACGGTCCTCAGTTTGCCAGCGAAGCGTTTACTGAGTTCTGCACAGCAAACGACATCACCCATCGCACTTCCAGTCCACGGTATCCTCAGTCGAATGGCGAAGCGGAACGTGCAGTTCGCACCGCCAAGAATCTCCTGCGGAAGGCCGAAAGCCTGCAAGATGCACTCTTGGCTTACCGCACGACACCGCTGAGCAACGGCTATGCCCCATGTCAGCTATTGTATGGCCGCCAGCTCCGTACCGGTCTACCTGCAACGACTGAGCAGCTGGGACCGAAATGGCCAGATCTTCCTAGTATTCTGGAATCGGAAACTCAGTCCCAGGAACAGCAGAAGTTGCACTACGACCAACGGCATGCAGCTAAGCCTCTCGCGACTCTACAGCTTCATGACCGTGTCTTCATCACCGATCTCGAACGGGAGGGCAAGATAGTAGAGCAAGTGTCCAATCGTTCTTACCTCGTTGAGTCTGGTCACTCTACTGTTCGCCGCAATCGTCGTCACTTGATCCGACTGCCACTGCCAGAAGCAGAGAAGCCGACAGTCGAGGTTGAGTACGGTGGCACAGCAGCTGATCCAGTCCGTCGCTCTGCTAGAGCTCCTCAGCCTGTCAACCGCCTCATTGAATCATGCTAATTCAGCAACGTGCCGAGACGTATCTGCCGTCGTCTCTGCACATCACTCTCTCACTGCAACTTGCTCTACAAACAATACCTACATTATCGAATAGTCTTTGGACTCCTCATCTTCTCTATTATAGCCTGTTTAATCTCAGAGGGGAGATGTAGTGGATGCACATCCCACTGTTTGTCATTGTATCCTTTTATGTAACATGTATGCATTCATCCGGCCGCGCTGTGCGACATGCCAGTTGTACCGTACGCACTTTAGCTGTACCTGCCTGCCTGGCTTTTCCTTTGATGTCTCTGTCGTTCTCTGTATTCCCACACACTTGTGATTTGTAGTAACGAAGCTAGTTACAAGATGTCTTTGGTGCGTTTGTAGAACCACTACATGGTTGAGCACTCTTTCTGGTTCGGGTCAGTCACCTGCCCTTGTGCAAAGCTCACCGTGTTCCGCGTAGCTCGAGCACTCTTACTTTAGTGCTTTGAGCTGGCTTAGGAAATGCTGCGTCGTTCATTAGATTTTATTGCGATTAGTTTGGTCAGCCGCTCTGATCTTTGCTGATGAGACCTACCAGGGTCAAAACGGCTAGCTGTCCCGAGATAGAGAAGCGTGTACAGTATAATTGAAGCTATACCGTATTTCCCCGAATATAAGTTGCAAATTTTTACACTAAACCTCAGGGTCAACAAAGGGGTTTCAACTTACAATCGAGCATGGTATACTACTGAAGTGAGTGTATTGAAACGATATGACATAGACCTGAAAAAAGAGATGCGACTTACAATCGAGTGCGACTTATAATCAGGGAAATACGGTCATAGGAGCTGAGATACTTGTTTTTCTTCTGATCGGACGGACACTGTACAGACAGTGTTTCCACCTCAGTTTTGTATGCAATGTGATACAGCTGTAGTGTTGCAAGTGTAGTGGCACAAGTGAACAAAGGCGTGCGCGTGTGCAATGGTAGATGAACATAATACTACATCTATTGCGTGCTGTTGTGTGTGTGTGTGTGTGTGTGTGTGTGTGTGTGTGTGTGTGTGTGTGTGTGTGTGTGTGTGTGTGTGTGTGTGTGTGTGTGTGTGTGTGTGCATGTGTATGCGTGCGTGTGCATGTGCGCGCGTCATTATTCCAGCTGCTCTACATATCGATGACCAGCAGGACAGCCTGCGAGCCTTCAATCCGGGAGACTGGGTGACATATAGCTTGCATACAACATGTGAGTCAACATTCTGGTGTCTTATTGGCTTGATAAATAGCTCACACACAGCGCCAGCAGGGGCTGACTACAGTGGCCCTTATGCTTAGGGATGATCACAGCACCAGCAAGGGTTGAGTGAGGATTATGGCGTCAGGAGCATCCGCAGCTCTTCTCAGGTTACATTGGTTACAAGCATAGCAGTGAAACACTAGACCAAACCGTGGAAAGGCTTCACGTGTACAACTATTTGTACAAATAATAATTATTAGTACATAATATATGTATGCAGCAGAGGTGCCCGGGTCGAGAAAGCGTAAACCGAATGGGTAAATTCCGGCGGTACGAGAATTGGAAATCCAGCCCTCGCTTCGGAATGGGCGGAATTGGATTCTGCGGATTCTGCTGATTCTGACGACGAAATCTGTGTAATCAAATAGTGCATGTTTGGTAACGTATTCTAGAATGAACGGAATTGTGTGTAATCGAAAGTTCGAAAGTTCCCATTTAGTAAATGAGCATAAGCAGCATTCGCATGTTCTGATTATGCGTTCCCAGCTGCTTCGCCTACAACAAAGGCTGCAGCAACCCAAATGCCAGAGCATACGGTGGGAGGAGAAGGAGGACCAGGAGGAGACAGCGTTGACAATGGTGGGCTGACTAAACGTAAGTCAGTCGAGTCCAAAGCTGCATAAGCCGTGTGTTGACAGCGCTCATCCCCACTGCCATTTCTGGGATACTTGTTTTGAATGATTTTTCTGATCGGATGGTGTACAGGCAGTTTGTCCGCCATGACCTTTGTCTGCAATGCTATACAATTGTAAGGTTACAAGTGAACAGAGAGATGTGTGAGTGCGTAGTATTACTAGAGTGTGTTTATCTCTGAAAATGGAAATTCTCTACATACATGTACCTGTAACCAATGCACGCTAGCAATGTCAGGGCTCACGGTTGTGTACAAATACGTGGGCGCCATTTTGTTTCTGGCCAGCTCACGCGACCACAGGTCGACTGTCACGCGACCACAGCTCGACCACCCCTTGTACACAAACTCTAGCCATCTCGCAGCGCATTTTCAGTGCGACACATGCCTCTTCAAAATAGAGTAAGGTAGCACAGGTAGACAGTACGACACTGAAAATTTGGGTGGAACCAGGCAAGATGTGAACTAGGGGTTCAACCGAAGGAATTTTTGATTTTGGCCCTGGGAAACTAAAGATATGGTCACAAAGTCTGTGAATGCTCTACAGCGATCCCTTCATCTAGAAAAAATCGCTTCGGTTAAACTGTAGCTTAGTATCTACTGAAGATTTTTAGCCATCGATTGTCAAAATCGGCCAATATTGTGCTACCTTATACTGTTTTGAAGTGAGCTAAATCGGCAGGGGCGCACGCGAACTCCCGTGCGCGACGACAAGGAAGGAAGCCTGTGCATATGCGTTGTACGATGCGGAAACTACACCAGTGAGGCAGCAGCAAGGCGTTTTTTGCAATGTTTCCTCCGTGACTGACAAACTCTTGAAATATTATTCACCGTTTGCTGTCTCGCTCATCGGCGCTCTACTGCTGTGTGCTTCAGCAGCTATGGCGAACCGAAAATGCATGACCAGTACAACGGCGAAGTCATTTGATTCGTCCTCTTGCAACGAAACAGAGTGGCAAATCAAATAATTCACAACTCTCCATCGTCACTTCTCACAGCAGCGTGGCACGGCTCTTTCACTCGTGTAAGTGCATTTACAAAACGCTCTGAGAACAGAGATAACGAACTAGAACACGGTGTGAGTCTTTGCTTCATTCCATCAAGGAGCTCTTGTCCTCTACCTCTCCTCACCTGCGCCAGTGCATCAGCGGACGACATAGATGTCGATCCCTTTCTCAGCAAAGACTCGGCGGCAGAACTCGCGACTTCTCATCGCAGGACTCAGCGTGCGAACGAACTGTCTGAAGCCTTCGGCTTACGAGGCCAGCACTGCTCGCAACACACTCGCTCGGAAAGAAGCAATAACAACGACAGTGAACGGCAACCAAAGTGAAACGCAAGTCCCCAGCCGGTCTCCGTCTTCCTCAGTTCTACTTCTTCTTGTCAGTCACCAGGTCACTGCAACTCTCTCTCGAGATCTCGAGTCCTTGCTGTGCTCCGCGCCGCGTAGGCGTGCACTGCCGCGTGCATAGCTCGAGTCACGCGAGCTCATTTCTATGGTGATCAGATTTCAAGATGTCCTCCCACGTAATCGAGTTTTGGCATCCCAACCGTGAAGCCTGAATGTTCCCATGCAAAACAAACATGTGTAGGAAGTACTAGGAACCGTGGTCAACAGTGCTTAGAGGGGAGGGTGCCCATCTCCTTGTGTGTATGTGTGTGTGTGTGTGTGTGTATGTATGTGTGTGTATGTGTGTGTGTGTGTACCGTACTCGCGCGATTAGAGCCCTCTCTTGAATAGTGCCCTATCTCTAATAGTGCCCTAGTCTCCAAGAGCCAGTGAAAAATAAAGCTCCCCCCCCCCCCCCCCCCCCGTCTTGTAACCAAGCCCATGTGCAAGTTTGGTGTTCTTTTGCTAATGTTCTTGGCCATTGCTTTGCACTGGTGTTTTCAGGAACAAAATCGCAGGTCTTGTTCTCGTTTCTGTGGAGTCGTGAGCGTTGACAGTACACTTTAGGCTCTGTTTTTCTTTGTTTTATGCTGGATGACGCAAATGTACCAGCAATGAAAAAATAGTGCCCTCTCTTGAATAGTACTGCCCCATCTGTGATGGACATTGAAAAAATAGTGCCCTGGGGGCACTAATCGCGCGAGTACGGTATGTGTGTGTGTATGTGTTTTTTTTGTTTTTGTTTTTTTTTACTATGTTCACATTCCCAGCTCGAAAATAATATAGAAAGACAATGATAATGAGACTAGGACAAACGTGACAACTATTGAGCAGGGGCTGCACCGAGACGCAGCAGTGATGGCGGGGCATTGATGGCTCTACCGACCTGAGGTCTCGGCATCACGGCCAAAAACACGCACCAAAAACAAAAGATAGAGCTGTACGAGTCAGCAAAATGAAAAGAAAGGAAGGGTTAACACCAGCGAGTGTGCGGGAGAAACTGTGAGACTATTAACAAATTACAAGGGCTGTTACTGAGAGGAGCATCATCATGGCTGATCATGGCGAGTCGGTTGTCTGAGCCAGTTGTGGTGCATAGATAGGGATAGAGGAGAACGACGAGAGCATCATCATAGCGAGTCGACTGCCCAGAGCCAGTTAGTGCTTCGCAGATGGCGATGTGTGTGTGTGTGTGTGTGTTGTGTGTGTGTGTACATGTGCATTTGTGTAACAACCATGACTAACTGTACTACTGTGGCGTGTGTGTGTGTGTGTGTGTTCCACACAGAGCAAGTGAATACCACTGACAACACTCACAGCAGCAGAGGTGCCAGTTGCTGTACAGGCGCAACAGCAACACCCACTCTTGTATGGATTTACCTGGGGAGCGACTTACTTTTCAAGCTATGCATTCTCTTCCTGTACAAATTTCCTCGGAAGTAGCTAGTACATCCATAATCCCCTCCCACTTCCGATGCTGCCACTGCCGCCGATGGCAGTGCCACTGCCTGACTGCAACAATGAGCAGTCCATCGCCGGTAGTGTATTTTCAGTGTATTTACTTGATTTCGTTCTCTTCATGAACATTCTACTAGCTTAGACTTATTTAACCTCGAATGGTCTTTTTGACAGGTTCAAGTCCTGCTTGGAAGCGGAAGGATTTTTTCCAGCCGTGCTGCGACCCACAGTTAATTGAGAACTCGTGGCCTGGCACGAGGAAAACATGGATGCAGTGAATGGGATTTTCGGTCTTTGACCACATGCTGGTGAGCTGATCTACTCACCTCCCACCGCTTTAGGAGCTGCATCTGCCATGAAAAAGAAGTTCTTTTTGACAATAGGGACGTTTAGCAGTGCGAAAACTCGAATTTTTGGTGGTGGCGATATTTCGCGAAAATCTATTTCGAAAAAGAAAACTTGTGAGGTTTAGCAATGCGAAACGACTTTTTCTCGAAGCTATTTGAATCTTATAGTACCGTACCGTGTATGCAGCTCAGTCTCAAGCAGGCGGCTGTAAAATTACTACTCCCTGTAGTGAAATGCGTACCGAGAAAAGAGAAAGTTACTTTCGCAAATCACTGCAACTTCGCGTCCAAGTTTTCGAAGTTTCGACCTTTGTTTCTGTACTCATTCCCAGACTCGAATTTTCTTTCGAACTTTCGCGTTGCTAAACGTCCTTAAAGGGGAAGTATACCCTAAAATCAAATTTTCACCAGTTGTAGTCTTCGGGGTGCTGAGTCGAATGGTCTTGGTCCGAGGAAGCTGAGACGCTCCCTTCCTACTTGAATCCCAATCGAACTCGCGCACTTCCACCGAAACTGGGTGACTGCGCCCTACTAGATGGGGATTTGTATACAAAATGTCACTAAAAGCGCCATTTCGTTCTTATAAAAGCACGGATGACTGCGATTGGCCCATATGTTGTAGTCTTTTGGACGCTGAGTCGACTGGTTTTGGTCCGAAAAGGCTGCGATGCAGCGTTCCTCCTTTATTCCCAATTGAACATGGTTGAACAAGCGGTCACGTGCTCCTGCCTACACCAGTCACCTGGTCACCGTGCCTGCAGGGTACAACTTACTAGCCTGTTTGACCTTTTTTGGGTGCAGTCCTGTCACTCGAGTTGAACTCGAGTTGAACCTTGGTGTGAAAGTTGTCGCCTGCTGGCGCGGTGACCAGGTGATTTGGGCACCCAGGAGCACGTGACCGCTTGTTCAACCATGTTCGATTGGGAATAAAGGAGGAACGCTGCATCGCAGCCTTTTCGGACCAAAACCAGTCGACTCAGTGTCCAAAAGACTACAACATATGGGCCAATCGCGGTCATCCGTGCTTTTATAAGAACGACATAGCACTTTTAGTGACATTTTGCATACAAATCCCCATCTAGTAGGGCGCAGTCACCCAGTTTCGGTGGAAGTGCACGGGTTCGATTGGGAAAAAAGAAGGAAGGGAGCGTCGCAGCTTCCTCGGACCAAGACCATTCGACTCAGCACCCAGAAGACTACAACTGGTGAAAATTTGATTTTAGGGTATACTTCCCCTTTAATTTCTGTTTGCTGCCAGCTTTTAAAATTATGTCGATTCTTTTTCATTACTACATTCGGTTAGGGTTTCGCGTACTTGGAATTTTTTTTGGTATTCATCCTAGTCTTTCTTTGTAATGTTTCCTTGGAGCAATACAATCTCTTCAAGTCGATCTCTTTCCAACGGGGTCCGTTGTTTCTGTCTTCATTGTGGCGATAAGCATTGCGAGCCGACACTGTGGGTACACCTGTTGGGTGCTGGGACGGCGCCAGCAAGGAGAGCTAGCGGGTTTCTTGATTTCTCTTGACTGGAATGAGTGCAATCAGAGCCTTGGGCATGTGTAAGTGTGACGGTATTTCTAAAGTAGTACATGATCATGGTCGACACAGTGCAAGTGACCTGTACCTGCTGTCTTTGAGCATTGACTGTAGGCCCTCGCACACGGTATGCATGCCGCTGGCGCAGACCTTAGGCTTTGCTTTGTGCACTCGAGTGTAATGTCATACAGGGGCAGATTGTAGCAACAGGTCACCATGGTCACGCCGCTAGGGTATCAGGATGAGTCGGATTGACCTTGGCCGTTCTGCCCAGTCTATCTCTTCACATCGACCAATCAACAAAACATTGCGGCACAGAATTAATGGATGTAGTATGTCTGTGATCGTCATGAACCATGTCAATTACCTTCGCCGCTTTCACTTCGGGCTTCCTCAATGCAGTAGAGGAGCTGGTTGGCACAGACATGTAGCACCGAGTTGCTACGGTCACGATGGACCTTTACGTCCAGCATAGTCAGGTGATCATTGCAATGACCATGCAGAAATCTCTCTTACAACACACAGTAGTACACACAGACACATATACACACGTGCAAGCACGCGCGCGCGCACACACACATGCGTGCGCAGAACACACACACATACATGGACGTGCGCGGGTATAATTTGTAATTATTAAAAGTCATCAAGACCCCAGATCAGACGGACAGTAAGCTTAGCCTAGCCAAGTACATGTACAGTGTAGTTGGCTCATTCCTTGGTTAGTTATACGTTATACGTTATATTACCTAGTACTCACCATGGTACACTGTCATGTCCATATATACAGTCATGCCATACCCTTTCTTGACTCACTCCCCAGTCTACAGACTACCTGACTGTACAGACATGTACTTACATTACAGAACTACAGTACAGCAGCAGAGCATGGCGATCAGACATCTCTGCTTCACCTCTAATCAGTCAGAACTGGATACTTATTCACTGTACTCACTGGTTTGAGGGAAAGAGACAAACGGGAAAAGCTGGAAACTGGATACTTATTAGTATTATTACTGTATCCGTTGCGCCAAGACGCAGGATCTAGGAGTGGACCGGTTTATGCTCTTGCTAAGACTGTAGGTTGTGCATTTCATTGCTACATGTAGCTGTATTTACAGTTACACGCCACTATTCACAATGACATCTACAAAAATACCTTGCACCGATCGCATTTACATTGTACTGTATACTAGTACATGAAGGTAATTTCGCTCTTCTCTCTCACTAAAAAGTGACTTGCAAAAAATTAATTCAAAAAAAGTATGCGCTTCTGAGCTACGTCATAGGTAGCTGTCTGTTTTCGCACTTGCTTTTAGATGGGAGTCGTACAATCTCCCTACTTTTCAGTTTCTCTTCTCGACGAAACTGCCAACCGTGAAGATGGCGGATCTTGAGTTTGATTCCGCTCAGCTCCAGGAGAGTGATCCAGCTGCCGACTTCTTGCAGAAGGAGCAAGGTGCATTAGCAGAGTTAGGAGATGATGATTTAGCCTTCGATGGTGGCGCGTCGGCACCGGTATGGCCAAATTTGAACCTGTGACGCGAAGATTGCTGCCCAACCAATAAATTCCTCTCTCCTCATTTTACTTTGCAGACTCAAGATTTCTCAGCGGAACTTGATCAATTCGGGCAGAAGGTTAGGACAAATGCCACCATAGTATTGCCTATTTTGCGCCGCTCGAGTGTTGACCTCGAAAAATGGTTGCCCTCCCCCTTGCTTTTCTTCTCAGCAGGAACAGTCCACTGAGAGCAATGCTTATTCAGCCATTCAAGAGGCTGATGTCCTAGCAACGGAGTCCGAGGCTGTTCGGTGAGTCTACTTTGCCCGTCACGAATCACCACTGTGATGAAATTGTATTGTAACCATCCGCACCTCTTTCTTGTCGATACTCAATGAGTTCATTAGTCTTTGAGTAGACCATGGGTGGCGGTATAGCGATGGCTTGTAATAACTACCTGGAACATTGGTCATTGTGGTTCCAGGATTTAATGCAAGTCTACATGTGTCTCCTACCAGGTTATGTCGTGATAAATGCTGCATGCATAATTTGTAACCTTGTCCCTTGTACATGTACTGCTGTAGCCAGTGTGTGTGTGTGTGTGTGTGTGTGTGTGTGTGTGTGTGTGTGTGTGTGTGTGCGTGCGTGTGTGCGTGTGGTGGTAGTGCGTGTGAGCATGTGTGTGGTGTGTGTGTGTGTATGTGTGCGTATGTGTGAATCCCTGGAGAGCTGGCACATCCCGATTGTATTACTATGACAGCCACGTAATATGTAGACTCTAATGCAGTTCACTGTACGAAGTGGTGCCAAATCTGGCTGCATAGATCAGGAGAAGTCTCAAGCCTGATTCTTATTTCATTCCGGGTTCGAGAAACGCGTTCAAGTTGCCATCACCTCGACTTGTCTGGCCCAGCTCGTGACTGTAGCCATGTGCATTGCGAAGCGTTCCCATGCGCGAAGTGAAGTGTGAATGCAGCTTAAACCCCATACCCCACTAGATCCTGAATACGTTTTCGCTCTGTTCGCGTATATCTGTCCAGTAAGTGGCGTGAAGATCAAAAGCAGGTGCTTGAAGAGAAGGATGAGCAAGCAGAGGTGGAACGCCAGCAATGGCTGGAGCAGGCCAAGCAAGACCTTCAAGACTGGGAAGCTCGGCAAGCCGAACAGCTCGAAAAAGCAAAGTCTGACAATCGGTAGGTTGTTGATGGGTGTGATGCAGTGTTTTTGTATCCATTTCCAAGTACCGTATTATCTCCCTTATAAACACGGTACTTATATTTTTTCAACCCACCTCGCACCCGTGCTTATAGAGGAGACCGTGATAATACTGGAGACCGTGTTTATATTTTTTCAACCATGAAAAAATCAAGAAAGTTGCATACCGGTAACACACTCAAATTGGAATTTAACTCAGGTTTCATGATTAGAGAACAGAGAGAAGAAAAAAGAATGATGCGGAAGTGGGAGTCACGCACGTGGAGCACTTTTATGTTTTATATGACTGTATGACTGGCGCACAGCTGCATTCCAGTATTATTTCTGTGACTATGGTAGAGACTGTGCGTTTGTAATCTCAACAGCCCTCCGACCTGTGTCTATAAGAGAGATAATACGGTATGTGCAAGGTGTTTTTAAAGAGAAAGGGTCCTGTACAAGACCAGCATCACCAAGACTTGATTTTGTCTTAGATTGTTGGATGAACGAACTGGTCACTTGGGCACATTGTCATCATCGGGTGAGCATGTGTGCCCAAGATGCTCACATTCGTATGCCGCATGTGGGTGTTTACTGTAGTACTCTGTCTGTGTGTGTGTGTGTGTGTGTGTGTGTGTGTGTGTGTGTGTGTGTGTGTGTGTGTGTGTGTGTGTGTGTGTGTGTGTGTGTGTGTGTGTGTGATCCACTCTGATTTAGCCACCCACACTAGTAGCAAGTATTACCTTCACTGGGGGCAGGGGTAACTGCAGTTGGATCCCAGGACGGATACCCTGATGCCGTCAATCCTTTTCCTGCACCTTGTCCTCACCCACTTACTGAGGTGTGGTGAGCCCATAAGTGGGATCATTTTCAAGTCCACCCAGAGTTTTGGGATTTCAGGGGGTGTCGGCCGTTGGGCGGTTCAATAGCCAGTTGAGTCATCTTTCCAAGATTCCTTTAGAGTCTCTCTCCCCTCTCCCGGGGAGACCCACGTGACCAGTTTTGGCAGTGAGCAACAAGTACAAGTGTGTGTGTGTGTGTGCGTGTTTTTCAACATGTCAACTCTTTTTTTGTGTTGGTGGTCGTGCTATGTTCCCTTTGGTAGTGCTGCAGAGGAAGCATTCATCCGTGAACGCGATGAGGACACTCCTGGGTCCGAGTGGGAACGAGTAGCACGCTTCTGTGACTTCAACCCGAAGAACAGCAAGAGCACTAAAGATGCTGCACGCATGCGTAGTATACTGCTGCACCTCAAGCAGACACCGCTGGTGCGGTGAATTTAGCAACGCTTCTCGGCACCCTTTCATTTCAAGGTATGGAGAGGGAGTGTGTGTGTGTGTGCGCGCGTGCGTGTTTGTTTTCTGTGTAGATGCCTGGCTGGCTGCTGTTATTTAATAGTATAAATGAGTGTTACTACTCATACAATCATGCTGAGTCATAACACAGTTGTTTAGAGCAAGCATTTGATTCTGGGAAGTGAAAAACATCACACTAAAAATGGCAGTGTGCACGGCTACCTGACTGCTCATCTAGTCAGCGGCTACTGTCTGAGGGTGAGCAGCAGCAGCATTGTCGGAGAGGCAGAAAGATGATTCCAGTCCAATACCCATGTTGTTTAGACCTGCGGGGAATGAGAACACTGCTTGAAGTATGGTATGGGCTGTGGCAGTGCCCACTGTTGAGCCCCAGCATCTTTGCTAGAGAAAAGCACATAGACATTCACGCTATGTCCATGAACATTCAGTGTGCCGAAACGGAAGGTGAGCGTCATTCCACCGTGGTTGCTCCCCTGCCAACTGTGTTGTTTATGCCATTGTGCTACATGGATTGCATTTCAATGTTGGTGGGTGGCCGTGAGAGGGTTTCTTAAAAATGACTATGCCGTGAGAAACTTTCGCTATTTTCGTGGCCATCGCGCATTTTCAAATTTAAATCGCCGCAAACTGCTTTATGCAGTTTTGTGGACATTTCAGTATCCAACTGAAGAGATAAAGCACAAACGTTTCTCATCGTGAACCAGTGGAAATCTTGAAACGCAAAATTTGCACGCAGCGAATGCATCTTGCTTTACAGTGGCTGGACTTTTGCAGTACATGTAGTCAAATGAAGCACACTGAGAAATGTGTGGGCGTCATGCGTATTGTGTTCCACTGTGTGTGGCAAGCAGTCTATGGTGGTTCATGCATACTATGCGTCACTCAATGCGTTTCCGAATGTACCAATAGGTGTATTTTGTACATTATCCGGCACTTTTTTAAAAGTTTTTTCCTTTTTTTTGGCATGTAGTCTTGTGGATTTCTATTGCCTTTTGAGTATCTGTCTGGGTTACTGCATGATTTTGTATGTAGGTAGACTTGCTCTGTGTGCCTGAAAATGTATATTTACAGTCCATTTCAAAACTATAGACGCGTACCTAGGCAAAACCGTTATGCCAGCATCTATACCACATACAATCTGTGATCACTTTGTGCATAAATTTTTCCAAATTGGGCGTCTGTTATCCAATCGTTTAGAAACTATTATGAGAGTAATTGTGGAGCGGACCTGAGCAATACTCCGAAAACTATTCTCAAAAAGTTCCAGGCAAATTTGAAATATTTCAAAAACCCTACGCGTCTATAGTTTTGACATGGACTATAGGTCATAGACTCTCAGTAATCACTACTGTTTGTGATATCTCCTGTTGTGCTTTGACAGAATTAGGCTGTGTATTCGTCGAAGAACAGCCAGCGCGCCACCAATAGGCCCAGAATCTCCATGCTGGCAAGGGGGTGTTTTCTTCTGGCCTGGTGTGTGTGCACTCTGCCAAGAGGTTGTCCTGGCTGTATTGTTTGTCCTGGCCGTGACTGCCCCGTAGCTTCTCTTCCCTTCCTTTTCTTGACTGTGTATGAAAGCATCAGTGTGACCACTACCACCGGCAGCAGCACATGACTGTAGCAAAGCACCAGAGCGTGGTTGATATGTGTGCACTGTAGTGATCCTTCCTCACCGTCACCTGTCCGCTGATTCTTTCTGACATCATCCTGCTGTATATTGTCAATAGTTTGCCATATTTCGTTGTGTCCTTAGTTAGGTCTGTTCAAATTATATTTTCTTCGCTATCTCCGTACCCGCGTGGTATTATTTGATTAAATGTAGTAGTGTCTTACGTAGGCCCCATTCTATTTACCAGTTTTCTTATCCTCTCTTCGGATCAAACCCTTTGTGCACGTGTGTACGTGTGTGTGTGTGTCGGCTGGATGATTGCAATGCGAACCAGCCACACCTCTGCTGTGTTCACGCTGTCTTCTCCCTGCCATGTAGGTGCTTGCTTCTTACTCACGGAAAATTGCATTTATCATCATTCTTATCTTCACTTGCCTACGTCAATATTCACCACCTTGTGTTCTGTACTTAGTTTTTCATGGAAAAAGGAAAATCCTCTGATGTGTTAGAATCAGGATACATACATGTATAAAAGTCCAAGCTGTGTGTGCTTTCTTGTTTGTGGGTCTGGTCGTTTACTGTTAGCTGCATTGAGCACGCTGCCACAGACGTACCGTGCCGTGTATGCCAAGTTACATGTAGGAACGCAGCCTTTTCAGCAGTATGACTTTATTACTCCGGTCCACGACACTTTGAATAGAAAACAGAATGGTTGAGAATGGATAGACGCAGATCAAGTTGCTCAGATGCCAGCATGACTGTTGAAGTAAGCAGATGTGATACCTGGGATGGTCAATTCAATGTGTCATCAAGGCCATGGACAATGTTAGATCATTGAGGTATGATACCGTGCAAGAACCATGCCATGCTCTCAAGAAGAAACTCAATACTACTTCGATAATAAAAGAGTACACAGATTACGAGAGTACCACAACGTCTAGGTTTGTACTGATACATCGATGCAGTACAGCAGACTTGTTTGGAAACACCGCAGGGAGAGTAAATAAGGCATGCCACGGTTTCCTACAGATCGTGCGGACAACAGCAGGATGCTGGGCACCTGATGCGTGACCAGCATGCATACGGTATAATTATCGACGATCAGTTGAATAGCTACACAAGCTCATCTCCGTCTCAACTCCGGCACGAGTGTGTGCTCCAGTACAAAGTACTTCTTGCAGTCAAAGATGCTTGCCGTTGACGATGCCTGACTGCCAATACCTGAATCCTCGTCGTCGGAATCCTCCAGGACCAGGGTTTTCGGCTGGATGGGCATTCTGATTCGACTTGTTCCGTGGAGCACACAGTCACGGTGACGTGAGCCCTGGTTGATAGGAGGCAACGGGAACACTATAAGCGTACACGCGTACACACATACACGCGCGCACACACACACGAACACGCACACACACACACAGAAAACATGCAAAAGAGTTGAATTCGTTCTGCTGCGATGATGAATATACCATAGCCTATAGAAGATAGTTGATAATGGGGTGGTGGCACCCCACAGAAGCGGAAAGGTGGTTCTTGATCCTCCCTGTACGCGAACCTGTGCATCATTTTTTTTGTTTTATTAGAAGATAGTGCACCGGGCAAGGTCACCTGACTCACAGATCACCAGCAAAGGCCAACGAGATGACTGACTCTCCCAGTACAAGTTCAGTGCGCGTATACAACTACCTGTAACAGGGGTCATCAACCTAGGCATACGCACTGTGACTGTTGCATGTATACTTGGCGGAAACCGTAGGGCGGCTATGGATGCCTGGGCTGGTCCCGTGATGCCAGTCAAATGTGCCTTTTATTTTAAAAGTTTGATGCTATTAGAAGTGAAACAATAAATGCAGAAAAAACGAGAAAAAAAACAGAGCATGGACTACAAGCGTGCAGCGCGAGTGCCCTTCCGGGCATTGAGCACTTTGTGCGCAGAGAGGACATAAAACCTACTTTGCAGTGCGAGTACACGTGTACATACTGGAAGACCTGCAAGGTACAGCCAACCCGTAAACTGTTGTAACACACTTACCATCTCGAAGTGTACTTTCTCTTTCCACATGACACTTGCTGCAGTGTGTTATGCCATAGCGAGCTAGACTAGTGCTGGACACAACACCATAGGGACAGAGGACAATGCAAACCGGTCTGGTATCACTGTTGTAACTCGAGTATTCCTGCCGCTCCCAACCCCGTGCCATCTCCACACACACAGACAGGCAACTGATGACATGACTATATTGGAACTAAAAGGTTATATTTAAAAGGTAGCTGGAAACTAAATAAGGTTTTCAAATTGGCCCGAATTGTTTGGGATGTGAAGTATGTTTTGACGGCTACAGATCATACACCTCGGCGAGGATCGACACTCATGAATTGCTGTGGTGTTGGCTCGAAGAGCACTGGATTATTCCAACAAACTACAATACATGCAAAGAAAAACTCTCTGGAAACAAAAAGGCAGCGCAGCCAAACAAAGGTACAGCTAAAACCTCATGCCGCACGCACAAGAACGCAACAGCCAAAAAAGGCTACACGGTGCCAAGGCTGGCTCAGCGAAACCGACCGCAGCGGAACCTAAAAGGTAGCCCGCTGTACAACTGCGATATTACATCAGGCATCAAGGTGCCCCGAAGGGGAGCACATGAAGACAGTAAGATGCCAGGAGATAAAGGTCAAATCACAGAGAACCGACAGCATGACCGCAATGGCAATCAGGAAGAGAAAGCAAATCGCAACTGAACATGACATGAACGTGTAGACTAACTCCGTGGCATTCTCGCCACGCCAAAGTATGCAGTGTCTTCAGTGTGCCATGTAGTGATGAAATGGCCAAGAAAAGTAGCTGGTCACCATCAATATTGTGGAGTAATGAGCACCCCAAAATTGGACATTTTCTGGATTTTTGCTCAACTTACCACTTATTTTGGTCAAAATGGCCATTATGAAAAATTAGCCCGAAATATTTCGCTTTTTTACCAAATCAACTCTACCAAGTGTAAGACACTAGTAAAACCAAAAAAATGATTAAAAGGAGACGTCGTAAACACAACAGGACACGGCGAACTTAAGACGGAGACTCATTTTTCACAGAACAGCAACACATGCACGAACAGCAACATGTGCATGCATCTACACTAACAGTAACACATGAAGTACATAAAAAATAACGTAGAGCACCGCTGGCGACATTGCACATATTATTATCATGACCGTGACATGCTGACATATTGCATGTCCAATATTTTTCACAGTTCTCATATCTACCATGTCTTCCTTGTTCTCGCTAGTCTACTCACATGCCTATGTCCGGTAAGGGAACGACGGCTCGTGACATCGTTTGCGGCTCAGGCGTGGGAGGCTTCGGTGGTGGCGGTCGTGGACTTGGTGGCTTCAGTGCACGCATCCTGTCAACAGTAGAGCAGGAAAGGGCAACTATGAAAACAGATAACAGATAAGTTGAGATAACACTAAAGCCCCCTACACACATACATAAATACATACATACACACATACACGCAAACACAACTACTCACGATCCTGGTGGGGCTAATTCATTGCTTATTAAATCCGACATGCTGGGTAAATCTGGATATGAGCGTGCACGAAAAACGTTTGCATGTTGAGCCTCCACTACCGTTGTTCATATGCACAAGATATCCAGTAACCAGCAACAGTAAACACATACACTGTACTTGGACATCTGGTGTGTGTCAGTGCCGCCTAGTACTACATGTACATAAGAGTTTACAGCCAACCTTGCGAATAACGACCACCGATCAAGCATGAGGAAAAGTGTCATTAACCGCAAGTTGTTGTTATTCGTGAGGTTGAAAGTACGCAGTCAAATCGTCACTAATTCTGACGACCGTGTCGTTAATTCGCAACTTGTTGTTATACCCGGGGTCGGCATTCATGAGGTTGACTGTCACGTCGCTTGCACACTGTTATAAAAAATACCTTTCTAATTCCTCCTGGCGTATTGTGTAGCGGACAAAGTAGTTAATGGCGTTGATAGCAGCAGAGCTACTCTGCTGCTGACTTGCCTTAGCAGGAGCTGGAGGTGAAAACCTGAGGATTGAATACAACAATGACACGTACACATGGTCATTCAATTCCCATCCAATAGTACACAAGTCTATCGGCTAGGCTGTTCAGAGATCTTCAGACCTCCCAAGACGATTGCCTTGGGCAAACACTCGGATCACAGATTGCAACCACTGTTACTTTGCAGCGCATGACACAATTCCACTTCTAGTACAGCTTAGAATACCTTAACGGAGCCTCCAGTCATCGGCCATATCACTATAATTCTATACAATAATTAAAAAGAGGGCATGTAACCAAACTCACGGGCTCTTCCCTTTCTTCTGCTGCTCCATAGCCAGCTTGCTGCTCCAGTCGGTTAGCCAGATTTTCAGGTCCTGACTGGCCTTGACAAGGCCTTCAACAGACTTTCCCTGCAACAGCAACACACCAAACAGAGCTATACGTTTGCATGCTGTAGTGCATGTAGCAGTGTAGCAGACACATTGTATTCAAGTGCTTGTAATTCCAAGTGCCGCTGAGCGACGCAAAACCGCAACCTTGTTGTCACAGTGATTACTAGAGCATCAATGCTTCCACGGGCTTGCTATCGTTATGCCAGCATTCACTACCGCTATATCCTCTAGCACAACTCTATCTCAACGCTTCTTCTCGCTTTGCAATTGTAGAATGAACCCGTGAACCAGTATGTACGCTCTACATGCAGACCCATTGTCTCAAGGTAGAGCCAAAACCGCCGCAATCATAGCCCCCGTAGAGACATGTCATGGAATAAAGCAGTGAGGTTATGCGAACGATTTCGTTGGGTGAGTCGGCACAACCGCCTATGTATGGGCACTAAGTATACAGCATGAGTCAGCGGATTCGCTTGTGAGCGCTGTCTAAGCGGTGTGAGCCGCTAATGCAAGTCCAGCGCTGTGTCGGGAGGCCGCGGCTTTGCCAAAGCATCTCAACTAATGGTGTAATCGCACAACCTCTATATGGACATAAGCAGCTGCAAGCATGGAGAAGAAACAAACCAGTCAATACTCACATCAACCGTCCAGGAGTCAAGCTCACGAGCGTAGTAACCTCTCTCGTCCGTAAGACCGAGCAAAACAAGCTGATGCAACGCTGGTGACCTGGTGGTGTACACCATCCAATGCACGCGTACACACCACACACACACATGGCACAGAACAAACCAGTCTGATCCTGTTACACGCCACAGAGTTGTTGGGTTTTCAGCAGACTACAGCAGCTAAGTTCTATCGAGGTATTGGTGCATGACAACAGTGCAAGGCAATGTTTTAAATCCTATGAAGTGCTAGAAAAGAAAAGGCCGTCAAAGTCTGGCGTCACAGCTTCTTGACAACGCGTAGTTACTTGGCCAAGTGGTGATAAACAAAAGTCGCGTCACCTGCACTTGTCGTGTTTCCAGTTGCAGCAGCATGCAGTGAACACAGCTAGCTACAAGCATCATTTTGACTGAGGAGCGCGCGAGTGAGACTATTTATTTCAAAATAAACTGCTACTTGTCGCCGAGTTTGTAGTTTTCGCTTTGTAGAGAAGGAGAGGCCGTAGCTGATTTTTGCTTGGCCACTGCTGTGCCTGTACTGTCGTTCGGCTTTACATGTAGTCGCCGGCCAAGAAGTAATGATGGGTGTCCCTGTTATTTCTATCACAGCGATCGCTGGTTTCTTTTAGTTCTGGGACCAACTAACTCTGTGCTCGTTTCTGTAGTGGATGCACATGCCACTGTTTGTCATTGTATCCTTTTATGTAACATGTATGCATTCATCCGGCCGCGCTGTGCGACATGCCAGTTGTACCGTACGCACTTTAGCTGTACTTGCCTGCCTGGCTTTTCCTTTGATCTCTCTGTCGTTCTCTGTATTCCCACACACTTGTGATTTGTAGTAACGAAGCTAGTTACAAGATGTCTTTGGTGCGTTTGTAGAACCACTACATGGTGTCAGAATTGGTTTTCCTGTAGTCTTTGGCCTCGTGAGCGGTGATGGCTCGTTTCAACCCTCCAGCGCCTTTCGACTTCAGCTCACCGGACCAGTGGCCCGCGTGGAAACTCCGTTTCACCCGTTTTCGTGCTGCCACCAAACTGAGTTCCGACCCGGGAGAAACTCAGGTGGCCACTTTGTTGTATGCTCTCGGACCCAACGCCGACTCCTTGTTCGAGTACCAACTCGGACTATCCGAGGACGACAAGAAGAAATATGACGAGGTCGTCAGTGCTTTCGACACGTACTTCCGCCCGTCTACCAATGTTGTTCATGAACGGGCTAAATTTGAACAGCTTGTACAACAACCCGGCCAGACCGTAGAGGAGTTTGTCCGTACTCTGTACAAAGCTGCAGAGTATTGTGAGTTTGCTGGCACGAAGGATGAGCGTATCAGAGACCGCTTCGTCGCCCACATGCTGGACAAGCGGGTGAGTCGGGAGCTGCAGATGAAAGACAAGAGCGAGCAAACTCTCGCCAAAGTTGTTGCGTTCGCACGGCACGCCGAAACTGTCCAGCAACAGGTTGCAGCCCAATCGCGCAGTGGCTTGGCCGCCGCCAGCTCGATTTCAGACGATGATGCCTCAGCCTCAGCTGTCCAGTCGCACCGTGGTGGTCGATCTATGCCGAAGAGCAGACCGCATGGTAGCTACAAATCTGCAGCAACGCCGCCTGCGACCGAATCGAAGTGCCCGAACTGTGGTGGAAGCCACCACTCGCAACGCGATCAGTGCCCAGCCAGAGGCCAGTGCTGCAAAGCCTGTGGCAAGTGCAACCACTTCGCGCGAGTTTGCCGATCGAAACCGTCCACCTCTGCCGTCACGAACGACTCTCCGGACTCTCTATTTGTTGGCCACACGACGTGCGCACAAAGTGTAAGTGATTCACCCTGGTTGGCAGATCTAGCTATCGGAAAGAGTGTAGTCCAGTTCAAGCTAGATACTGGAGCTGATGTCTCTACCATGTCCGTGCAATCATACAATACACTGCAGCCCAAGCCGTCCTTATCTGCTACTAGTGCCCAGCTGAGAGGAGCGAATGACCAGACTATGCAGGTCCTGGGTGTATTTGAGGCTCACTGCTCCTTTCAATCTCAGTCCACTACCATACCCATCTTTGTTCTAGATGGTGCCAGCACTAGCCTGCTCAGCCGATCTGCGTGCACAGCACTGGGTCTAGTCCAGCGTCTGGCTGAAGTGCAAGGTCCAGTCCCACTCGTACAGTGTATGGTTGGTCCTGCTGCGCAGATTCACTTGACTTCCGACGCCACACCGTATCACTGCCTCACAGCTCGCAGAGTTCCTCATCACCTGTATTCGAAAGTACGTGAAGAACTGCACCGCATGGAAGATGGCGACATCATTGCGCGTGTCGACGAACCCACAGACTGGTGTTCGCCTATGGTGCCCGTCCTCAAACCTAACGGCAAGGTACGCATCTGTGTCGACCTGAAGCGTCTTAATGCGTCTGTCAAGCGGGAGACATTTCAGCTGCCAACGTTAGAAGATGCCCTGTCTTCACTGGCCGGAGCGACTGTGTTCACGACATTGGACACTGCTAACGGATTCTGGCAAGTCCCACTCAGTCCCGACTCTGCCCGTTTGACCACCTTCATCACGCCGTTCGGCAGGTTCTACTTCAAGCGACTGCCATTCGGCATCACATCAGCACCTGAGATTTTCCAGAAGCGTCTCACCAACCTTCTGGACCAGCTCCCCGGCGTGTTCGTCTACATGGACGATATCATTGTCTCTGGCCGTACGCGAGAAGAACACGACCGTAACCTAGCTGCCGTACTAGACATCCTGCAGAAAGCCAACGTCACGCTGAACATGACGAAATGTCACAAGCGTCAGGCCGAAGTGAAGTTCCTTGGTCACATCTTCTCCGCCAAAGGTCTCCACCCTGACCCAGCGAGAGTGTCCAGCGTCGCTAATCTGAAGCCGCCCAAGAACGTCACGGAACTGAAGCGCATTCTCGGCATGTTCGCGTTCATGTCACGCTTCATTCCCAATCTCTCGGAAGTCAGCGCTCCACTGCGTCTTCTACTGGGGCATGACACCGCATGGGAGTGGTCTGCTACACAACAACAGGCCCTGGACAAGCTCAAACAGCTTGCCACCAATGCGCCCTGCCTCACGTTCTTCGACCCAACCAAGCCCACGGTCATCAGCGCTGATGCCAGCAGTTACGGCTTGGGAGCTGTCCTATTGCAGGAGCATGACGACGGAATGCGCCCCATTGCATTTGCCTCACGCAGCCTCACCACTACTGAGCAACAGTACGCGCAGATCGAGAAGGAGTGCTTGGCTGTTGTCTGGGCTTGTGAGCGATTCCACGGCTACATTTACGGCAACTCGTCCCTCACTGTCCAGACGGATCACAAACCACTCATCCCGCTGATCAATACGCGTGATTTGAACCGTGTCCCGATGCGATGTCAACGCCTCCTGATGCGCCTGCTCACGTACAATCCAGCCGCCGTGTATGTCCCTGGCAAAGAGCTAGTTGTTGCCGATGCTCTGTCTCGCGCTCCGCTCGCCTGTGACGACACGCCTAGTCTCCAAGACGAGATCAGCATCAACCTCGCATCTTACATCGGCGAGATCGTGTCGGATGGTAAAGCCCGTGACATTGCTGACGCCACCACACAAGATGAGACGCTCAAGCAAGTCCTCCACTTCGTCCAACACGGATGGCCGTGCAACCCACGTGATGTCGACGACACTGTGCGCCCATACTTCCATGAACGCCAGTTACTGTCCTGTGAGCAAGGTGTGCTGTACCATGGCTTCCGCATTGTCATGCCACCCTCTCTGCAGCCTGAGATGCTCGAGAAGCTCCACGAGGGACATCAAGGTGCAACGAAGTGCAAGTCTCGCGCCCGCCATTCCATTTGGTGGCCAGGCTTGTCAAGGCAAATCGACACGATGGTCGCTACGTGTGAAGTGTGCACCAAACACCGCGTCCAGTCGACCGAACCACTGCAACCCGTCCAACGCCCAACACTGCCGTGGCACACGGTTGGTGCAGATCTGATGGAATTCAACGGCACGACTTACCTCGTCATTGTTGACTATCTCTCGCGTTACCTCGATGTCGTACCGCTGACTACCACAACCTCGATTGCTGTCATCAAGCATCTGCACCGCATCTGTGCCGAGCATGGTTTCCCGTCCACCTTGGTTACAGACAACGGTCCTCAGTTTGCCAGCGAAGCGTTTACTGAGTTCTGCACAGCAAACGACATCACCCATCGCACTTCCAGTCCACGGTATCCTCAGTCGAATGGCGAAGCGGAACGTGCAGTTCGCACCGCCAAGAATCTCCTGCGGAAGGCCGAAAGCCTGCAAGATGCACTCTTGGCTTACCGCACGACACCGCTGAGCAACGGCTATGCCCCATGTCAGCTGTTGTATGGCCGCCAGCTCCGTACCGGTCTACCTGCAACGACTGAACAGCTGGAACCGAAATGGCCAGATCTCCCTAGTATTCTGGAATCGGAAACTCAGTCCCAGGAACAGCAGAAGTTGCACTACGACCAACGGCATGCAGCTAAGCCTCTCGCGACTCTACAGCTTCATGACCGTGTATTCATCACCGATCTCGAACGGGAGGGCAAGATAGTAGAGCAAGTGTCCAATCGTTCTTACCTCGTTGAGTCTGGTCACTCTACTGTTCGCCGCAATCGTCGTCACTTGATCCGACTGCCACTGCTAGAAGCAGAGAAGCCGACAGTCGAGGTTGAGTACGGTGGCACAGCAGCTGATCCAGTCCGTCGCTCTGCTAGAGCTCCTCAGCCTGTCAACCGCCTCATTGAATCATGCTAATTCAGCAACGTGCCGAGACGTATCTGCCGTCGTCTCTGCACATCACTCTTTCACTGCAACTTGCTCTACAAACAATACCTACATTATCGAATAGTCTTTGGACCCCTCATCTTCTCTATTATAGCCTGTTTAATCTCAGAGGGGAGATGTAGTGGATGCACATCCCACTGTTTGTCATTGTATCCTTTTATGTAACATGTATGCATTCATCCGGCCGCGCTGTGCGACATGCCAGTTGTACCGTACGCACTTTAGCTGTACTTGCCTGCCTGGCTTTTCCTTTGATCTCTCTGTCGTTCTCTGTATTCCCACACACTTGTGATTTGTAGTAACGAAGCTAGTTACAAGATGTCTTTGGTGCGTTTGTAGAACCACTACAGTTTCCTTGTCCAGCGGCAAGCGAAAATCAGAACTCCTATCTCTCAGGTGCTGGTGAACACTCAGCAGGAAAACACTGCACGGTGACTTGAGAGCGAAGGAGAAATTTCTTGAAGTAAAACAAAATTTAAGTCGCGATCTTGCACCAGCACGCCCCAGTCAAAGTGATGTCGTGACCGTTGGAAACACGACAAGTGCAGGTGACGCGACTTTTGTTTGTCACCACTTGGCCTTGCAACTACGCTTAACTACGAGTTTTCAGGCAGCGTGACGTAGGCACTTCGACAGCCTATTGTTCAACTGCCCTTTCTTTCTCTGAACTATGCCTTCCAGATCGCTATGGTCCAGGCTAGTTGACATGCACTATGCCTCATGGGCCGCTATACTAAAGCCTGTATATAAAATGCATTACTGTAATCACTTGTACGCACACGATGCGGAGGATCGCAGTTACATCACCCTTACTCTCGGAACCCAAGCAAACCGACGCGTCTTCCTGGTGTGTATGCTCGAGTTGGAATTAATACTCTGTACATTGTACATCTGTACAGCCGTGGTACAGCTGTGTGTGAGAGGAAATCACACCAGTCCCGTGGCCGGTTGCACATCGACAAGGGAAAATTTCAAACAAATTCCCATTCCCAGTGGTGACAACTTACATGACATTGTACTACCATCTTCAGCCCAAACTTAGCAATGGACAACTTGACAACTTGACAAGGGGTTTGCAAGGGGTTTGCAAGAAAGTACTACAAGTCACACTTCCAGAGTAGGATTGTTGGATTTCTGGTATTTTTTAATAAAGGAAGTCGACGACAGCTGCAGCCATTGCTACACAGTGTTCATGGTCACTCTACACCAACACTTATATTTCTACTTGCTTCTTCGTTATCGGTGGACCAACAGGTAAATTGCAAGCCCCTTCTTAATTTGCGACGGCATTTAGGAAATAGAGGTTGCGAGCATTTAGGAGGTCATCATAATTAATGATTATCTGTTCATGCGATGTGGAGGTTCAAACACCGGATTTTCAGACACGATAGCAACGTTTGTGACCTTCGAACACTCAGACCAATCGTTGAAACCGCGGTGGCCCCCATTTCGATATTTCACCGAATGATTTCCAGGTATTGTAAAAAGATAATCATAGTTTGAGGGAGTTGAAGCATTAAATACGTAATCAAAGTAGCGTGCTCCACTGGCCAAAACAGGAAAATATAAAGACCCAGGGAATTCGGAGGCAGAGTTTTATAAGCGGAAATTGTGCCACAAACTCTCAACTTCCTTAACATGCACTATGCACCCGAGTAGCAGTGTAGCATTGTGGATTGATCAAGACAACTCAGGACATACACATTCTTCTTGTCACCGGCAGTGATGTATCGCAGTGACAGCTGTGCAACAATGTTGTCCGGCGGCACACCCAACTTGATCATGAGCTCGATTAGCTTGGACTGGTACTGTACAGGAGGATGTACACACGGACACATGCACACACGCACGCACACACACATACACGCACGTGCGCGCACACACACACACACACACACACACACAAAGTCATACACGTCCAATACTAGGATGCAGCTTGTGTTCCAGAATATTCGCAATGGCACTTTAAGTCAAGCTCTGATTGTGTACCTTGTTGAAGTCCGCTGGTGAATCACCTGGCTTCGGGATTGCTAAGACCTGTGACATCAATGCATCAATAAGCATCGGCTTGGTTTGCTCGTCTTGCCATTCTATCCCCGCTAGGTCAACCAAAACCTGCACAAATTGAGAGAGAGAGAGAGAGAGAGAGAGACAGAGAGAGACAGAGAGAGAGACAGAGAGTAACGCACAAACACACGCACGCACGCATTCACACACATATAGAGGAGGGGGAGAAAACAAATTAGCAGAATGGGAAACTGCACAGCCTGAACAAGCAGAATTTTTAAACATTGTCATCAACAAAGTCTCAGGTTAAAATTTAAAATCTGACCACATGTTTTCAAACGAAGGGAGGTTCGCAAGCATTCACACAATTTTACATGTCCAGTCAATAAGGCACTTCTCATACGGTAGCAAACATTTTCGTTCCCTTCTCTTCAGAATTATACAGGGACCAGTCATGTATTTGTAAAACTGTAATGACCCTGAAGTGAATCCCGACAAGTGCAAGGTGCTGGTCTAGCAGGCAGGACGACCAGCCAAGCTCAAGTTTCATCCCAGCCTCCAACCCACAGTACTACCAAGAATACCAGATCTGGAAGTGTTACTTGTTAAAAACAGGTCATGACAAAACTACACACTGTCATGCATCACTTTCAAGCCCTACATCCTCAAAGGTTTTACTCTTCAACTAAATACTTGTGGCACTCGAAGAGAGCATACCTCCAAAATGTCCATTTTTATGAGAACCGATGGAGCATTAGCCAGTTCCTTGAGCAATTGCTGAATGAAGGGATCAACTTTGAGGAGGTGAGCCGGGAAGGTCTGCAGAGACAAAACCAGGTGTACACGTATAAGTGAATACAAAGGCAGAAGAACGCAGAATGCTACAGAATAACACAGAGTACTACTCCCTGGCTGCTGCAGGTGACCCAAGACTAGAGATGTATCCTTTCTTATATGGCGTGTGTGTCCCACTGACAAAAGTATGTTGTGTGGTGGACTCGCCCTGGGCTCTTCCAACATCGGACACAGGCAGAAGCTGAAGAGCGGTGCTTCAGCAGACATTTTCGAGGATGCAAAGCTCAGTTGAACCCCACTCCCATTCCAGCAGTGCAGCAAAGCAGTAATGTAGACACCTGGCTTTAGTATGAAGCGGCAGTTTCCGCTGCAGGGTCACAATAATCCAAACCCGACCCAGCTTTGGTTGCAAAGTTATCAGAGCCGACATGGTACATCGTGGAGTGATACGGCTGCATCGATTCCGTGAACTTATCCCATACTGGTCATATTTCACAGGCACAACTAATCCACCACGGAAGAGAAAGAGAGATGGAGAGAGAGAGAGAGAGAGAGAGAGAGAGAGAGAGAGAGATAGATAGAGAGAGGGAGAGAGAGAGAGAGAGAGAGAGAGAGAGAGAGAGAGAGAGAGAGATAGAGAGAGAGGGAGAGAGAGAGAGAGAGAGAGAGAGAGAGATGGTGAGAAAGAGATGGAGAGAAAGAGATGGAGAGCCCCCCCCCCCCCCCCCCTCTCTCTCTCTCTCTAATTTCAGCCCTGTCGATGTACGTGGGAAGCGCTGTGTATGCCAAAATACGGTGTTGAACCTACACTGTACTATTATACACAATACTTGCCACTACAAGTAACCATGGTAACCCTGTGTATGAAAGTGTGCACCATCCAACATGGCAAGTCTCATCTTCTGTGTTGTTTGTACAGCGTACTGCACTAGAGAGCCTGGATCTAATTCTCACTCCCTGCCAAAGACCAGCTAGGCAGAGTGTGTGTGTGGGGGGGGGGGGGGGGGGGGGGGCTCAACGGTATTTTACGGTAGATCCACAGTACTAATTCTAAGTCAGACATTAAACTAACATAATCATTGGAGTCTGGAAAGGACTTCTTCATGAATGGTTTTGACAGATGGCGTCGTATGAACTCGGGAATTTTCTCAGGTGGCGGTGGTGGTGTGGGTTCCCTAGGTGGTGTGGGACTGTAGAGTGACAGAGGTGGCACGGAGATGGCACATACACGCACACATACACACATACACACACACACACATACACGCATAACACGTAAAATGTCTGGCATGCAGTGACATTCACAGCAGAGGTAGCGACATGCTGTTGTGGTGGGCACTCAGAACCGGTACATTAGTAGTCAAGTATACACCTCACTCAAAACTGGTACCAGTAGGTACTCTCACTCAAAACTGGTACCAGTAGGTACTCTCACTCAAAACTGGTGCTACTACTAGGATGTCTTAGCTGACACCTCTGTCTGCAACCAGTGGCATACATGTACTTCTACTTCCAGACAAGGATCAGCTATATCTGGATGACGACACCGTGCCCATTCCAAACTCACGTGCGCGGTGGTGTCTTCGGCTTTGCCTTGGGCGCAACTAGCTTTACAATAGGCTTCTTGGGGACGATCTTCTTCTCCTTGACCGGCTCTGGAGGTGGAGTGGGAGGCGGGGTGGGCTCCTTAGCTGGCTTTTTGTCCGGTTTGGCCAATAGGGCATTTTTCAGCCGGTCAGCTAGTCCTGTTCTGGCTTTCGGTGGCTCTTCTTCCTCCTCTTCCTCTTCTTCCTGTATTACGATCTACACCAGACAAAATTACATGTATATAGAAGAAAGGTAAGGTGCAAGCTAGCTTCACTAAGAGAAATCCAACAATACACTATCTGGACCTCCAGGGGCAGCATCGACTTACTGAGAATAAAAGGTCTTACGCCCCCCCCCCCCCAAATAATCCCCAAGGAAAACATGCACAATACTGTATCTAAGCTGACGGGGACGGACATGCCTATCCATGCAAACACAGTGATCAGAATAATATAGCCAGTGACCTGCCCTGTGTGTCCACAAAACATCTGCAGGTTTGAGAATCACACATACAATCTACATGTACTTACCGGTTTCTTGACAGTAGAGAGTGCCGCCAGCTGCTCTTCTGTCAGTGGCGTGAGCTTCCATTCGTCGGCGGCCGCTTGGTCGGCTGCCGACTTTCGCATCTCCTTCAGCAGGACTGAGTTTGGCAAGTAACCACTCGGTGCGACTGGGTAAGGTGGTTCAAACGTGGTCAATGGTGGGAAGAACTTGGTAGCACTGGCCAGAGCACTTGCCGAGGGTTGTTCTGAGAACGGCGAGCAGAGAAAGACAGGCGGGATCATAGGTTGGCTTATAGGCTGGCTGACAGGCTAGCTTATACGCAGGATCAGCGGCTGGCTTTCTAGCAGGCTCACATGCTAGTTTACAGGTAGGGTCACAGACTGCAAGGTGCCTTATAGGTGACAGTCTTAACTACAGTATGGTACAGGAATGAAACAGCAAAATCCAGTAAAAACCAAAGATCATACCTGGTAATTCAGTCGAGAAGAACTTCTTTGAAGAGCCATCAAAGTCAAACGTGTCCACCGACGATATCTATCAATAGGAGAAGCAGCCCAAAGAAAAGTAACCATGTTCGCTTTCAACACATTGAGGGACGTAGGCATACAGTGAAACTTGAATATACCTCAATGGGATACAACAATCTAATATACCTCAATGGGACACAACAATCTAATATACCTCAATGGGACACAACAATCTAATATACCTCAATGGGACACAACAATCTAATATACCTCAATGGGACACAACAATCTAATATACCTCAATGGGACACAACAATCTAATATACCTCAATGGGACACAACAATCTAATATACCTCAATGGGACACAACAATCTAATATACCTCAATGGGACACAACAATCTAATATACCTCAATGGGACACAACAATCTAATATACCTCAATGGGACACAACAATCTGTACTATATAACAGAGGCATTGTACGTCCAAAGTCAAATGATGGGTATAACACAATTCAGTTTCATCGAAAACAGTACTTTATAGCCCATAGTATGATATATCCTGGGTTCTTCATAAGTTAGTGCAGATTTCACTGTAATTGAGTCCAGACAGGATACTGTCCCATCCAGACCTTGCTAGTACTGGAATAGCCGTGTTAGAAAGGAAACATGACTGCATAACGCTGCTGGACAGTATGCAAACACTGCTCCGGTCCTGAACAACGTGGTGCACATTCATCACAAAGTACAGACCATGGATCCTTTTGCCCCAGCCTTCATTTTCCATTCATTGCATGGTGTAAATAACACAGAGAGAAACAAGCGGTGGGAACATACCACTGCGTTCGGCCGAGAGAATACGTTATTGGTTTGGTTGTAGTAAGCCTTCCATGCCGCCTTCTTCTGCTTTGCAGTCAGCTTTATTCTTTCCTATGATCAAACACAAACAGCAGAGAGAGAAGACGGCAAAGATAGTGAGAGCAGACGACACACCTTGTCACGCATGTTTGTTATGACAAAGCACCCGCAAAACATGTAGCCGCAGGTACTACTGGTAGACATGATCACAAAGACTAGTTTACCAGGGCTCTTCATCTGCTTGCAATAGAGCGACAAGGCATGCCTTCATAGAGACAATGGGTGTACAAAATACCCGGTGAGGGCGAGTTAGCTTGCCCATCACAACCTTCACAAGTATTCATCGCTTACTCGCTCATAGACAAATGTCCCATCCCGTAACTGCTCCAGCTCAAGGTCACGCTCGTACAGCTCTGCCTCCATCTGCTCAGGACAAATAATACACGGAAAACAGATACCAGTATCAGCTATAATACCAGTGCAGGAGGCACCACAAAAATTCACGGTTCATGTGACACTTATAGTGAGTTTTCCGCATCGGCAGGAATGCCACCACCCTCAAGGATCAAGGCGCAGATGCAGCTCCTAAAGCGATGGGAGGTGAGTTGATCAGCCCCATTACCAAAGTGGACAAAAGAAAAAGACCAGAAATCTCATTCGCTGCATCCTAGCACCACAGGTCAGTAGATCAGATTCTAACAAGGCTGGACGACATCTGATGGGAACAAAAAGTATGGTGTATTGCATCGCGAGTCTTTTCTTCTCCGAAATCCCAGGGAGTTCGCGCACACAAATCCCAGTTAGAGAGTCCACTCGAGAAGTCTGTACGTAACTCCCATGCAGGTTCACATGCCTATGCACTTGAAATACATGACAGAACCGTAATACGTTGCAGTCGAGTGTGCGCAATGGACAGCTGCTATGAGCCACGTAAACCACTGCAAAGCATTTCACTGACTGGAAGCCGATGCATGGAAGCAACTCTGTTCGCACTGCTGTAGGATGCATTCCCATTTCCATTACCTGTCGCTTCAGCAGCTGCTCTTCTCTCCACTCTTCGGTGTCCTCCTGCGATGCGGTCTCATCGTTAACATCTCCAGGGGTGTATCTACAGGTGGGTCGGAAAGCAACAGCAACAATGACAGTGACACCGACGGTGAACAAACTGATCTAGTACTGTTCGGCATCCACTTGCCTCAGCTTGAACGGATCAGCCCAGTGAAAACAAATACTAGTACACGTAGAGCAGGAGAACTTGTCACAGCTTCTGCTGAGTAACAGTGGCGAGGCTTTCTGCACCTAACACAAAACGGCAGGTCTTCTCTGACCGTGTTGCCACACAGCATACCGGTAAACATGTACGAGTACATGTAGCACTGTAGTCGTGGTACTAGTATTATAACAACACAATGAGCAATATCACAGCAGCTGCGGAGGACAATACCGCCTACTTGAACTTACACACAAACAATACCTGGTGTATGTCTGCCAACCGATGATGGTTGTACATGTAGTCAGGAGCACTGTTTTCAAGGCAATGCGTCCTCCGCCTTGTACCATGCTGTCAACCGATCACAAACAATACATCTACCAACCACTAGCAAGACTATACTTGTCAGTCATATCATAATTGCAGCAGCCAGGTGAAGCCTCAACGGCGCAGCAACAATGTCTTACCGCTGCGCTGACGATGCTATGCCAACAAGACGACGGCGATCGCACTCCTCCATGCTGCCGACCGACGGGGCCATGGGCCGTGCATACTCCACACCACTGACGGCCATGCTCACGGCCAGTGTCATCTTCAGCATCTCCTGTGGCAAGTCTGCAGTCGGTAAGCACAGGACAAGCAGAGAACAGTATTGAAATGCAGGATGCAACGGACAAGACTCACATACAAGAGTAGCAGATTTTATCTGGGTAGAAGATGCATGTGCACGCATGCAAAGTGTTTACGGTGTTTTGATTGCATAGCTCTTTCCTACACACCCACTATTCCTACAATATGAATACATGGTATATAAATAGAAGCCTTGCTTGATAGGTTTAACATGTTTTCGACTTCAACAGCATGTTACAAGGCGAGGACGCTCAGTGCTCCTGACTACAATCATAACCCGGTTGGCAGAGTCCCGGTCTTGCCAGGGGGTTTTCCCCATACGGTTCAAATGGTGGCAAGACCGGGACTCTGCAAACCGGGTTATGATTGTAGTCAGGAGCACTGAGCGTCCTCGCCTTGTAGCATGCTGTCGACGTCGAAAACAATATGAATACATGCGGTATCCTGCTCCATATTAGGATACTGCACTACCGTACACTCTTTCTCACGGCCATGCTGCTTGCAATCTTGCAATTCTAGTCTTCACTCGATGTTTGTCTCCGTTTCCGGACACTTGGAAATAGTCGTGAATTGAACGAGTCATGTAGTTTGTGAGTCCGTAAGATCGCAACAAGATGATACAGCTGTACTTATTTGCCCAGTACACAAGCTACTCCCCTGCATACACAACTGTACAACACTATAATTCATGCTGATCAGATCAAAGTGCCATGAATCACGATCACCAAATTCATCATACTGTCGTGGACATGGAAATCCGGTCGCACGCCTAGCGGCCCCAGGGCGATGGCCATGCAGCCATGGAGCGATACACTACATGCAGTCATGCGCTGCAGCGCGCTGGTCGCATCGGATCAACATGACTGTGCACTGCACGCAGCGTTCTGAACGCGCTGAGGGCGCCGGCCCCGGTCAATCGACTGGATTTCCACGTCCACGACAGTACTTACAAGTAGAACTGCCGATCTTGTAGAGATGACCTTGAATGCCAACTACAAGGTCACCCTGGTAGCTACAGAATGCCAGCGATTCAGGCACGGCATTCAGATGGATAGCTCTGCACGGGTACAAGAGCAGCATAGCAATATGGACAGGAAAATGCTGACGAACTACTAGACCACGTACATGCAAACTCATTCTGTGAATTATATCTTAAGGCAGAGAATGACATGCAGCCCCAAGTACGCGTACAGACATATACCAGCCCAATTTCGTCAGGCAAAAAAGGCACCAGGAACTGGCAGACATGCACAACAACCTGTCAGCATTCGACAATAGAGCAGCAGTGCTCTCACCTGACTAGTTCATTGCCAGCTGTCCAGACGCGAACATCTCCACCAGTACTGGCCGTAGCCACCAGCCCAAGACTGTCCAGAGCGCTGATGCTGATGATACCATCGGCATGGTCCACATCCGGAGAATGGTCATAGCGCTCTGAGACATTACAAATATAACAGTCAAACTGGTCAATTCAAACCATAGTATTTAGCTTACAGAACTTTCCCTTCGATCAGCATCAATCAATGCAGGGATTATGTCACAGCATCAATCAATGTCGGGATCATGTCACAACTCCCCGCTAAGAGCTCACTGACTCGAACACCACCCCTCCCCACATATCGTTTTATGCACAAACACGAAGCATCAAAAGCAGCAGCAGCAGCAACAACAACGACAACAAACAGACACTTGCAGACATGGATGCGCACGCACACACGCAAGCACACACACACGCACACACACACACACACACACACACACACACACACACACACACACACACACAACGCTATTGTTACGGATTTCGTCTCGTATTGATTTACGCATGTTGTTGTATTTGGTTCTTGTCTGGTGGAGTCCAGTGTCTGATGTCATATATGGTCTAGGTGTACGCGCGAGTATGGTGTGATGTGTGACGTTTATGGTATGTGGTGCATGCAAGAGTACGCGTTGTCAGAGTGTGAGGATGTGCTTCCGTCTGTGTGAGAGTGACTGTCAAGTGAATGCTGTACATGCGCAGTGCTAGTTTGGTCTGGGAATGAGAGTCGTGTGTGATTCGTCCGTGGTCTGGTTGTCTTGGTCTTGGTCATGCGTTCTGTACGTATTAGTCCCTGATTGGTTGTCCCGATTTGTCGTCGCAATATTACTGCTTGTTCTTGTTGTTTTCTTGGAGTCTTTTCCCGGGAGTCTTTCCCGTCGTCGTTTTCTGTCTAGTCTTTTCGTCTTTCTCCTCCTGTGCCCTCGCCGTTTATTATTGAGAAGTGAATACTAGTATGGAAGCTAACTGAATGGTGCGTTGTTGAGTGACCGGGGCCAGGAGGAGAAGCCTACTTCACTATGACTGTACACACAACGACAACACTTACTGTCAGACATCAAGTCAAACATCGTCAGAGAGTAGTCGCTTGTGCGATCATTGTTACACACAACACAGAGGCATAGCTGACAAATAGCTAAATGCGCCGGAGGATGCACAAGAGGGATGCGCTGCAGCAGGCTTAGCAAATCTTGGCAATAGGGAAATACTCGCCAGATGCAGACAGATCGATCTGTACAAACAGAGTTGAACAATGCCAGTCAAGAAAGTCTGCCAGGAAAAGCGTCAAGAAACACGTCAATGAGCATATGGCTAGGGATTGCACCTGGATGAACGCAGCCATGCCCTCAAACTGACTCAAAACTAAATTGGCTCGCTGTAAAAAGCAACAGGCAGCCGTGGTAGCTGCATTGCAGTACAAGTAGAGGTATGCACTGTCCTACCTTCACGTGACCCTGACGCAAGGCGGTCCAGCTTCGGAGAGCAAGCGAAGTGATGAACCGCAGCCGAGTGACCCTGAGAAAGCAAGAAGAAAGCATCCAATACATGCACTGGAGTTGCTGCATGCACATGCACTGGAATCGATGCATGCACATGCACTGGAGTTGATGCCTTTCCTTTGATGAACCTTCCTAGCTGAGAGAGATCAGTCGTTCCCGCATCGTCTTCTTGCCCACCATTATTTTCAGTTCTTCATCCTGTTCCTGCTTCCTGTTTTGCTATTAAACCGTAATCATGCTGTAGTTTATTTGGTAGTGTGGTGTGGAGTCTGAACTTGGGCTGCGAACGTCCTAGAACATGTGGTGTTTTAGGAGCACCAGGCATCTAACTTCCCCAAAAATTGCGTGTGGTATTCAACTGTATTCTGCTAAGCGCAAAACTGCCCTGTCCACCACACACCCGAGACAACACCATAGCAAGAGAAAATGGGCACACGGCGTGCAGAAAGGATGGAGGGCAGCAGGCAGCGTGCACCGTGATTTCGACCGCTCAGTGATGAATCTACAAGTGGGTACAGTTTGGCTATGCTACTTCAAAAGAACAACATGCATCAGCGAGAAAATGCAGTAACTAGTTTTAACGATATCCATACATCTTCACAACACTCTCCAAACGGTCTCTGGGCTACACCAATCACTAAAAGAAAAAGATATATTAAAATTATTCGAATTTTCGGGCAAGGCCCATCTTCAGGGATGATTTTAATATCTCTTTTTCTTTTAGTGATTGGTGTAGCCCAGAGACCGTTTGGAGAGTGTTGTGAAGATGTATGGATATAGTGGATGGCTACAGTGGAGTCTTCGCATTTTGAGTAGTGTTGAAACGATCTCACCGGATACTCGTTAGCTCGCTCGCCAGAAACTCGGCTCGTTTGTGCGGCCAGCTCGTTTGCACTAACGACCACCGTACACCGTACTCCGTACACATGGCAGTACATGTCGACCGGGGAGTCGTAAAAATATTTTACGACTCCCTGGTCGATCGAGAGTCCAGTCCCGCGCAAAGTGAAAATCACTCGCAGTTACAGGTGACTGTATGCCTGCACGACACTTGAGTTGTTTCAGTTGTCGTTGCAGCTTTGGTAGACTCTACTGATGTCTTGTTCCGCATCTGCTGACCTGTCGCAGGATATTGTTCAGTCACCTCTCCATTCGAGTGAAAGTTACGCTCAGTCGTTTGGAAGTTTTCTCCCGCGATGCAGCGAAGACCAGGGCTACTTGCAATCTTTGCAAAACGGTCTATTATTACAAAGGCTAATCCACGACGGCGCTGAAAAGACATCTCGACACCAAACAGCAGTCCGAAGTGAAGCAGCAGCAAACCCTTTGAACCAGCTGAAAAAAAATCGAACTTAGAAAAAAAATAATTCAAAAAAATAATCATATTTGCCACATCAATGAAACTCGTTAGATCGCTCGATAGCTTGCTCGTAATTTTTTTAAAAAAAATCGAACTTAGAAAAAAAATAATTCAAAAAAATAATCATATTTGCCACATCAATGAAACTCGTTAGATCGCTCGATAGCTTGCTCGTAATTTTTTTAAGATCGCTCGTTTGTTATAGATACGCTCGTTTCAACACTAATTTTGAGAAATAGTTTTAACGATGTGCGGCATAATTGACTAACCTTCACGCTGAATGCTACCCGCGTCTTCTTCCGCTGATCAATCACGAGCAGCTTGCCCTGGTTGTTGCCAGCGAGTAAGAGCGTGTTCTCCATACTGCCTCGATGGCCAGCGTGGCCGGCATCCAGAGCAACAGAAAACCAGCGGTCGTTGGCCGTCGCCTCCAGCACAGCTTCCTGTTAACACGACAAGAGATTAAATACATGTCACAACTCGTTAGGGCCAGTCAGATTGACCTTTCCACAACCATGGGTGTAAGTTGATCAGACTCGCCCGAGCGGCCGATAGCCCATTAGCTGCAATCTGTGTTAATGTTGGGCATTAGCTGCTGGGTCTGTTTTTGATATGGGATAGTTGCCAAGATACATTCATCAATACCTACAGTGAGGAAGTCTTCTCCACCATTATTGAAGCTCAAAGGAGTTGGAAGCAGCTTTCTGAGACAAACTGACATACAGTCAGACCTCGCATAACCGCGCACATCCGTTTTCAACAAAAATATCCGGATAGGCGAGAGAACCGGATAATCGAACACACATATGTGTGTATGCATGGCATGTGCGGTAAATCGATAATCAACGATTTTCTTCCAGATGGCGAGGGATCCGGATAAGCGAGTTCTGACTGTACCAGCCAGCATGAGAGGAGGCAAGAAACATACCAAAACGTAATGCTAATTGAAGAGATTGTACAGCCCTCCTCTCGCCCGACTTCTTCTGCTAGTAATGTATATTCAACGACTACATGCCTACTAGTACACGTATCCTGTGGTGAAAAGTTGATCTGCATTGTATGATGTGCATTTATTCTATGTCGCCACCATCACTTGCCTTGTCCATGACAAACTCATAGAGACACAGCGCGGTGATGCCAGCTTCAGATCGACAAAGAGAAAGGGAGAGGAAGAGAGAGAAGAACGCATTACTTGCTTCAAGATATGATACAGCACCAAGATGAGCAGTTGAGGTAACTGCCGAAACTTCACTTGCCTTCGATGTCCAAAGACAAACTTACTAGTAGTTAGTAAGTAGTGTACTATAGCCTGGGTTCAAAATATGCCGAGTCAAGCCAAGAACATGCATGGTATGAACTAATGTTAATACCATGCCCCTCCCCCCCCCCCCCCCTCTCCATTTACTGAATAAGGTAGCACACATCATAATACATAGCCGTTAGTTGATTCATAGCAACAGTGTGTGATCCTGTGTGAAAGGGCTGAAAATGAGAATTCTGAGCCTAAACTCTTCACACACACATTCCACAGTAGCAACACTTTGAAAGGACTAGGAGCAGCCGGGAGTTACTTACAGATCTCGTCGCTTGGCCAGGGTAGCAGTTTCTTTGCAGGACAGTTTTCAGAAGTGTCGAATCGCTCCACTGTTCCACCACCAGTTAGTACATACAATCTCTCTGTCCAAAAGGAAACGACAACAACAGGGTAGGGAAGTTCCAAAATGCTGAATGCTTCACTACATAAAATTTCCGGCTTGCTTCTCCTTGGATTGCTGTTGTGTGACCGGCGATTGACCGCCAATGACCGGATATGTTCTTCAGAAACCTTCTTCATTTTCTTATCACCCAAACACTTGCCGAACTCTGATTGGCCGAGGGCAGTTGACCAATTATTTCTGGTGTAAAGTTCAGAGCCAGAATAGGCTATAAAAGTAATCATTCCAGGAGGGGATGGTGGTCGGGGTTTGGAATGGCTAGACTTTTAGGTAAAGTCCAGCACACCATGAGAATCTGACCATCCATGATGAACTCCGCATACAGATTAGTGTGATGGCAGCATGTCCTGCAGTTTACCTTGCTGAGCTTCGTACACCGACGCCACTATGGTGGTCTCCGGGGCCAGTAGGGCCGCTGTCAGAATGTCGCCACTCTCCGGAGAAACGAGTCGAACAGCCGAGTCAGCACTGTGCAGTACAAGTCGAATTGGTACCTAGCACACAGGCACAGGCACAGGCACACACACACACACACACACACACACACACACACACACACACACACACACACATCACACACACACACATCACACACACACACACACACACACATCACATTGCAGCGGACCGGACCAGAGCAAGAGCTTCAGTACACCCCACAGCAAGATAGAACTCAGCAAACTCCTTACATACTTTCCTCTGCTTCTTGCAGACATGGGCTACTTCCACTCACAAACCACCATGCAGTGGGGATCTGGGCCACTGCCTATTTATTGCAACGCACAGTGAGGACACTGGCCAATATGAAAGTGTGCGTGTTAGTCAACCACAGCGGACAAGACAAAGGAATAGGGATATGAAGGCATAGAGACAAGCAGGGTAATCTCCCAGTAGTAACATGATATGTAAGGAATTATGGCCTCTCGACATACAGCATGGCATTAAAGCTTACCTCGGGGTTCTGCGTAAGATACATGTCATCCGTGTTGACACTGCACACAGACAAGCAAAAGCAGAACGCTCGCATGACTTAGAATGCTTGTGTGGCACATGCTCACTTCCTATGTCGCCTTTTTCAATGTTTGCTATGTCGTCCCTGGCCACAGAATTCCGACAGTTCACACACAGCTCACCATGCATGGGACACATCTCTTGGTAGCCTTTCACAGACAGACGTTACTGCAACCTTGGTGGAGCGATTCGACACTTCTGAAAACTGTCCTGCAAAGAAACATGGCTACGCAAGGAGAAATGATGGACGCAAGTAGTGAGGAGAAGGATACACCTGAGGCGGAGGAGAAAGAAGATCCCTACCTGGGCGAATTCTCAAAGCGTGCTGAACTCCCCAAGAAATTATTGCTGGAACAAGTAGCTAATTTGTGGATCCAGAAGACAAAGCGTGGCACATCTTCTGCTATTGACAGAGACAAAGTGTTTAAAAACGGATTGTTGCTGGAACTTATGTACTTGCAACAGACAGAATAATTTTCAGATGAGATTCTGCACTCGCTGCTGGAAAATTTTCCGGGGAAGGACGTACCTTTTCTCCTAAAGCTTTGCGCGGCTGGCTCCAACGATTGGAGGATGCACGAGTCAAACTGCAGAAGTCCAAGACACGCAGCCCGGAGGCTTTCTTGGATTTATTAAGTGCGCCCTTCAGTTTAAAGTCAGGCTTCACCAGCGCGGATGAAGGTGATGTTTCTTCACCGCCACCCTCATCACCATCGGCACAGCCACTGAGACCAGTCTTTGTAGCTGTAAGCAGCTCATCAGCTCCGAGCCAGCGCAGTGACCTGGCTGACTCTGCAGTGAGTGTCACCCTTGCTGCAGAAGTAGGAGAGCTGTCGAAAAGATAGAAAAGAAAGGTCACCAGCTTGAATGGTACAGGGCAAACCTCCGCAACACATGCAAAGCATTGCGATGCCAAAGTGAGAAGCCTGATGAGGCGGAATAGCAAGCAGATACTGATGTGCAGGGGAGCAAGGAGTAGTATCAAAAACCTCTGAATAACCACCATCAACGGGAGAACCAGCTTAAGACGAAGCAGGAAACCATGAAAGGTGCTGTGGATGGGCTGCAGGAGGAGGCAGCGCGCGTTGCGCAGTTGTTTGTTTTCTGCAGAACCCGAGAATGTTGCCCTGCGGTTGCAAGTTGATGATTTCTCAGCAGAGTCATGCAGCGGTGAAGTAATTCCTACAATATCTGACAGCAAGTACTTGCCAGAGGTACACCAGTGCTGCTTGGAGGTACTGGCATGCAATGTTGGTATCTTTAATGTACGGAAGGTCATACAACGCCTGCTGGCTCTAGTGGGCAAGAAAGCGTATCGTCTGCCATCGCATGGATTGAACTCACAAATGCACGTGGAGCTGAAAGGCTTGGCCAGCCTTCAGCTTGCCGATGAACTAGCTGAAGAGGAAGATATGACTCTGCATAGCGACGGTACAAGCAAGCACGGCAACAAATACAGAGCCCACCAGATCTCCATCAACATACAGCGGGTGTACAGCTCGGGCATGGTGGAGATGCAGCGTGGGACTGCCAGTCACACTCTAGAAGTGCTTAAAACAGTCTTGGATGATGTTTCAAAGATGTCAGCTACAGAAGGCAAGGTTAGTGCTGGCGATCAAATTATCGCGAACATCAAGAATACAATGAGTGACCGGAGTATTGTGCAGAAGACGTTCAATGGTCTGGTGGAAGACTACAGGAAAGAAGTGTTGCCCTGTGTACACAGTGACTGGGATGATCTCTCTGAGGCTCAGCAGAAGGAACTTTCTAGTATGAACATTGTTATATTATGTACTCTTGTTAGATAGGCACTCATGTGTACTGTACATAGTACAAGAGTCTCTGCCTCCCAACCAGCCCTGCGGACAAATCGTTTGACGAAGTTTGTGCTCTGCTAAGGGATTACTACAAAGTTCGTCGATCTGCAACTACTGCATCATATCAAATTCCGATCGTGTGTTCAAGATCAGGCGGGCGAGAGGATCGTCGATATGGCTACTGTACAGGCTACAATAGAACCATTTACGGGCGGTGATTTTTCATTTTCTTCTGTGGCCTCCACTACATTGTTGGGCTGGCGGACCAAGCAGGCACAATTTTGAAGAAACGGGAAGGAATACACTTTGATAAGACAAAGGTGGGAGCTGCACAGCTACCGGGTGTCTGGGAGATCTCCCACGGCTCCACCAACCGCCTCATCTATAGTGCCACAAAAAGCCGTCGAGGAGCATGGAGTCGAGGCTGCCGGATGCATTGCCGATATCCGAGCATTTCTGCGTGGTACAGGCATCAAAGCTCCACTCTGTGAGTACCGTGGAAATCGGAATTATGTGAGCCAGAGCACGCTAAAATATGACCACAGACCAAAAATTCGATTTTCAGTTTTTTGTTCAAAAATGATCAAACACACCTGATGTTCACTGTCTGAAAGTTTTGGATTGATCGGACATGTCTAAGTGTTGCTACAATGGGATTATATGCAGCACTGTTGAAATGGTGAAATTCTATGTACAGCAATGGGATTGTCATTTTTGCACACAGTTGATATGTCCCTTGGTTCATCCTTTCCAGGTCAGTTCCTCTGTCCAGGGTCTTAACTTATAGCATGAGCTGACAGGTACTCGGCCACATCCAAAATTTCTATAGGCAGCTGAGCTGGGTGTCCGAAATACCTCGTTTGGATCACCACTGGAGAACCGCCAGCGAAAACACGGTCAACGTCTGTAGATGGCCGAAGAAGTTGGCACTCCACGTCCTCTCCATCACACTCCACTTGTACTTTCAGATATACAGTATACACTGCTGCATACAGTCTTCCTCAACATACTCGACGTCGCACTCATATTCCCCACACCAAAGCCCATCTGCACACGGTTTTCTCCGCTCGCCAGAGAGTACTGTTTTCGCTGTCTACAGTACTGCTCGTGCTAGCGATGTTCCACATAAGGGTACTCAAATTATCGACTTGAGCAAGTTGAGGGAGCAGCAGAGTCCATTGATTGTTTTTGCACTTGCAACCAATACTGGCATTGCCCCGGATATGTGCAGCGATGTCCATTCTGGCCAAAACATCGGCCGACTCACCTCCCAAGTCAGTGTCGATGCCAATCGCTTGCCAGGGTGTCATCAGAGTAGAATTCTTCGTCACTGCAGATCGTGGGACTACCAGCATCAATTATTTTACGCTCGATGAAAGTGTCGCCCTCAAATGACTCGTCGCGGTAGCCATCATCGTCTTCCTTCTGTTTCCTACCCGAATCCTTAAAATATTTTATCCTGCGCATGGAGTGCGATGATGTCGTCTTCTTCTGCTCCACAGTACATTACTACTACTAGGCTATTCCGTCGATACATCGATGACGATCAGTTTTAGGCAACTCAGCGCAACATGGAATACAAACTCTAACAAATAAACTTACTTGCAACAAAGAAATGCATTCGGAACAGTCCATGATCCAGTCGACCGAGGAGAAGAACAACAGCGACTCGCGTTGCACTGCACTTCGTATTTTTTTGCCGCGGAATTCAAATCGCGATTATCTCGACTTTTTCAAAAAAAGCTGTGGTCATGTTTTAGCGCGCTCTGGCTCATGTCCTGTTTTTTAATGGAGCTGGCGTTGCATTTCTGCAGGAACTAATTCAACGGTTTCTGTCTGATGTCCACGGGGACACGAATCGCCTGTTCAAGGCAGTCCAAGCCGGACTGTCTGCCCCGGAGCTGGTAGCGGCCTGCCGTGCCCTTGGCTTGCTTTGCAAGCTCGTTATCGCTCCCCTGTGGGTAGCTCTGGAGGACAAGGCCAAGACGATATTCGACATGAGCGCTATTTACAAAGAGCTGGTGGCCGAGATGGAGGAAGGCGCTGTACTGCCCTTTTCCAGAGCAGCAATTGTCTTCTTCTCTTCGCTGATTTTGCCATTTACTCATCGCGACTGCTCAGTGACCACCCTCCGCGTGGTTGTTTTCATCAAGCTTCCAATCAGCTACTTGCGCAAACAGCATCTGTCCGAAACGCTAACGCCATTTCAGAAATTGATTTTGGTAAGCTCGACAGACACCTCCAAGAAAAGCCAAACTTTGACACGGTTGCTCTTGAAGGCCTACTGGGGGGGGGGGGGGGGGTAATCGAACGGCACAATTGCTACGGGATAAATCCTCCGATGAGAGAGATACAATAGCTGCAGCCAGACGAGCAGCACCTAAGTTCCGTGAGGATTTTAAGGCTCGCTAGCAGGCGATTCAGGACTACCGCATGGAGCAAGCAAGAACAACAGCAAAAGAAGAAAGAGACGCTCACAGCAGAGATCACGGGTGTAGACGGACTCTGGATGTCAAAGGAGGTAGCGCAGGAGCAGCTGTCCAAACTGCCGCGAGTCGCGGACAAGCGCCTTGCTCTTAAATCGCAGCTGCACTTCCGCAAGTTGGTTTTGTTGCGGAACGCTTCAGAGTCCAAGTTTTCACTTTCGTCTGGTGGAAACCAGTTACCAGTAGAGTAACTGCTTGCCAACTTGGAATCCCTATAGGAATCCCTATTCCAAGTGGCACGAATGTGTGCATGTGTGTCGTGCGCGGGAATTCCGCTGTCATTTTGCGTACATGCTAGCTGGTGTGTGCTTACCCTCCACGTTGTGACGTTCACATGTTGCTGCGGAGTTCACCCTTGGTGAGTGGCTGAAGGCGTGAAAGTGCTCTGTTATTTTATGTGTTTTATATGTTGGTGCTACATGTACCTTGCAATAAAGAAACTCTACAATGTTAGGTACATACCTGTACACATGGCCATGGGGACCAGTGCTATGTGTGTAATACTACTAGCGGCATTTTTTTAATATTTTGCCTACCCGTAATGTCGCGTATAAAAGCAGGTATTTACGGCCGTATAAGCTGGGGTTCAAACCGTGCTTTTCTTCAAGTTAAGCTTTTATTCAAAACATGCTTCTACGTCAACATAATCAGTCTACACTGTGCAATACATACTGCCACGCATGTACCGTGCAAGTACTTGCACGTGTATTTTGCAGAGAGCGGCTTCTATTCAAATCGTGCTTCTGTGTCACGGCGTGCTTCCCAAAATCCGCTTCTATTCGAGTCATGCTTCTATGCAGGTCATGCTTTCATACGCGACACTACCGTACTTTGTTCCTAACCAACACATAGATGAGTGCCAGAAGAATGTGTTTTATAGCCGTTACCACCCGCAGTTGCCTGCTGGTATTCTGTTTGTCACTATCAGTTCATTTCATAGCAAACTGAAGCTGTTACTATCGGGTTGCTACGGTGATTGTGATCACAATTGCCGCATTCTGGACTATTCCAAAAGGGATCTGTAATGTTTCGATCCTAAGATGGCTGTTGGTCTCAGTGAGTTCTGTGTGCTTGAAAAAAAAACTCTGATGTTTCACAACTATATCCACTGGATATATTCTGGAGATGCTGTTGGTGCCATAAATTGTATTGTTGTGGTCTTATGCAATTGCCTATCTTCAACCCTTCATATCTCAGTGGTATCAAGAGTACATAACCGCCAAGAGTGTGCAACTCCAGCTATGGGGTCTGCGACGGCAGAACTTCACATCACGTGATGAACCTGTACACATTATTTGGCAATATCTGCACTCTGTGCATGATAGATACAGGGTTGTACACAGCCCAGCTTTGGGTACAACTCTCTTGTGGTCACTTTGCACTATTTGCCAGCATAACCTTTTGAACCATGTCACGTGATGTGAAGTTCTGCCGTCGCAGCACAGCATAGAGGTTGTGAAGGCATACTCTTGGGGGTTATGTACTCTTGGTGGTATCATTGTGGATTTCAATAAAATTTTGTCTGTGACCTTGTGATATCCACCTCTGTCGATTGCCGATGATAAACCTAGAAAACCCCGATTTGAGAAAATCCGGTGAAGTGCCTAGTAACCTGTTCGGCGTTAACAAAGGAAAGGCGGGTAAAATTGATTCCTTTATAAAGTTCTTGTATTGACATGGCTTTGTTTCAGAGAGATAGCTTTGGCTGGCCCGGTCTCATCGGCCTTAGCTCAGCACTATTGCGATACACATGTGCACACACACACACACACACACACACACACACACACACACACACACACACACACACACACACACACACACACACACACACATATGCACACACACACACACATGCTCACACAGCCACACACAAGCCGATACACAAGCCCAAACACGTGTCCACACACACACACACACACACGCGCGCACGCACACACACACACACACACACACACACACACACATGTACGCACACCCACCCACCTCCGCACACAAGCCCACAAGCATACACACAAATGGCACTAGAATGTGTCTAGAGGTCACTTTCCACTAACTCTATCGGGGTGAGCAGATGATAGATGTAGGTCATCTTCCAGGTGTCCAGACACACAGATGAGATAGACACAAACATCTCTACATTGGCATGAGATGCCAGGTCTTGCACTGGATGTCCAACTGGCAACCTAACAGATAACAAATCATACAAATATAAAAACTCAATAGGTCACAAAAATAATGCTATACATATCCAGAAAAAGCAGAAGCGCATGGGCTTTGACAGTATTTGCTTGTTGGACAACAATAAAGCCTCTACTTCCATGGGCATTACATCAACAAAGTCAATCCGGCATACACTTAGCAGATACTACATCTCCCTGGTCCTTTCCCCCTATACCCACTGCAACAACCACTGTCTATGTTCCCAGGACAAGCGAGGATAACGTAACACGATCGGCAGTCATTGAACACGATATTGCCTCTACAAACGGGCACAGTTTACAGGAGGCCACTACCAATATGAACCCACCATCTCTGGGTAGAGACGCAACATCTTTCTTCTACTGTGTTCCTTTGTGTTAGTAATAGGTATAATTTCTCAACTACTACAACACATGTAGTACACATCAACAACGGTAGCATAAACATTGCCAGGGATTCGACAAGGCCAATGGAATCGCAATGCCAACGTACCTGTCAACTTCCAGGCCGTTCAGAAGGTTCCACACTCGAATCGTCTCATCGCTGGATGCACTGATGACCAGTGGTCCGTGCGGATACGGCTGCAGGCTGACAACGCCACTGCTGTGCCCGCAAAACGAGTGCTGTAATGTGTACGTCCCGTCCCAGACGTTCACTGTACGCCAGTAAGTACACACAGATAGAAGCACACCAGGCACAATAGAGCATAACGCCTTGTACATACCCGGTGAACTGGTAACACAATTGGCACATGCTGAAATGTTTTGAAATCCACTGCTCCAGTGCGAGTTGGTCAGACTGACTTTTCTGCATCCGTATGAACCACCCTCAAGGACCAAGGCATCACATGCACCTCCTGAAGCAGTAGGACTGACTACTGTACAAGCAGAAATATTCGTCTGGAATTTAATTTCGTCTTTTTCGTCCAAGGAGCTTTTGGACTAAATTAAATGCCGGACGAATGTTGATTTGTCCAGCTTTTCAATACACTCTTATGGTCCATGGACTAAATCTTCAACCGGACGAACTCCCTTTCTTTGGAGTTGGACGAAATTATTGACCGACGAAATTTTCTGCCTGTACAGTACATCCGACCCAACAATAGCGGCAAGGGCTAGTATTGAACTCCACTGAATATGCAGAGTGCCGACTGGTGAAGTTCACCCCTTGGAATAATACAGAGCCGGTATTTAAGATCAGTGCACAGTGTCCGTGATGCTAGGGCTGTGCAGCACTCATTGTTGTTTTATTCGTAGCAGCCGACTTCACTGGCTAGTACTGTGATGTGGTCACATTGTTACTCCAGAGTATATAGTAGACATTAGGGAGGTTTGGTCCCACGTAATCCGTGGGTACTTTACGTGTGTGTACTTCAAAGTACCACGTGATACTCAGTGACCCACGTACAGACGTTTTGGAACGTGGGTGAAATCAGAATGGAGCGCATTGTGCGAGCTGTGAGGGTGCTCAGCTGAAGAAGTTTCCGAAGCACGAAATCAAAATATTGGATGAGCTTCTTAGGCCCGGGTAGCTTCGTCTTTGACCAGGTTTGGGCCTTTCGCTTCATGCTTTTGTTTGTTCCGTGTGACTAAACACAACATTGCAACGTGGGTGCCCTTCATCCACTTTTCGTGGATCACCCACGTACGCGTTTCCGTTACGTGGGAACTAAACCTCCCTATTGTCTTACCTGTACCGTCCCGTGATGCACTGCACAGGACACTGAGTGTGCGATTGAACAGCACACTGCAGATTGTACACAGCATAGTCACACGAACACACGAGCGAAAACACACACACACGCACGCGCACACACACACACACACACACACGTTTCGCAATCCCCTATGGAATGCTCTTCCAATTGTACTAAAAATAGACTGCAGCAGCCGTGCTTGAACGTGCTGGTCTCTGACATGGTTGCAAGAGCTTGTGCCAGGTACACATGCATGCACCCAGTTGGTTTGAAATCCTGGAGCAGACACTGTGGGTATGATTGTATGTTGTCTTCAAGGAAGTTCCGTAAAACAACTGGATGCAGCTGAAGACAGTGCAACATACCATGTGATCTCCCGCGTGTGCGCATTCCGCAGCGTGTGTAGCAGATCCTTAGTGTGTAATGTGTACACCTAGAGTGCAGAACAACAACAACAACAACAACACACAAACATACACACACACACACATGCATGCATGCACGCACACACACACACCCACACACACACACACACACACACACACACACACACCATGTACACACACACCCACACCACACACACACAAACACACACACACACACACACATGTACACACACACACACACACGCATGCACGCACACACATGCACACACACACACACACACACACACACACACAGACACGAACACACACACACACACACACACACACACAGAATTCAGCTAACCTACTCATCAGCCGAAAGGCATTTGTTACTAATAGTTTCAGGGTTATGTTGGTCACTACTGGCTTAGGGGTGCAAACGCATTGCCAACTGAGACAGGGTACGTGGCTGCTTGGTCTGCAGGTGGTGAATCTCGTGTGTTCGAGAAAGACAAATCCGATATACACACGGGTACACACGCAGTACCCCTGATCACTTACCAGAATGGAGCGATGGACGACGGCAAACAAGCGCTGAGAGCGGCTCTTCTTCGGCTCAAGGTGCACGCAGGAAACTGTTTTGTCCGGGTGCAGATTCGCCTTGGCACAACATAACACAACGCAGGGGATATGTCAACAAGAAGCGGTGCTCAATGATATCCGACCAAGCGAGTCAAGTATGCGCCCAGCGTTGTGCAGCCCTAGACCTGCGAACACTCGGCCCCGATGTGGACCCATCTCTCTACTGACCATGCTCAGCTCTGGCTACTATGACAAAGTCATTAGTTGTGTGTGTGTGTGTGTGTGTGTGTGTGTGTGTGTGTGTGTGTGTGTGTGTGTGTGTGTGTGTGTGTGTGTGCGTGTGCGTGTGTACATGTGTACGGGTGTGTGTGTGTTCATGCGAGCGTGTGTGCATGCTGGCCTAATGAAAAAAGTAAGCACGTTGAGCCTGGATTCAAGATTCCATTTCCGCTCCTTGTTCAACAAGCCTCACGGAATAGGAATAAGTTTCTAGGCTAATACAGCCAATAGTTACAATATCAGCTATAGTCACCGAGGAAATTGTCATGGATGTTTCCCAAGTAGACTAATACAACAAATACATGTATACCTACTGTATAAGCAGAAATATTCGTCTGGAATTTAATTTCGTCTTTTTCGTCCAAGGAACTTTTGGACTAAATTAAATGCCGGACGAATGTCAATTTGTCCAGCTATTCTATACACTCTTGTGATCCATGGACGAAATTTTCAACCGGACGAACTCCCTTTCTTTGGAGTTGGACGAAATTATTGACCGACGAAATTTTCTGCCTCTACAGTATCTGCACAAGCATGTGCAACATGCCCAAGCAGCCATGCACACAGGAGTATGCTTCATTTTAAATAGACCTTATGCCAGTTGTACAGATCCACGAAATGTATGCGCATTTGACCAATTTTAGCCTCATAATTTAATGGCAAGCAATCGCTTTTCAGCTTCTTCACTTTGGTTAGAACTAATGACTAGCTAGATCTTTGTCAGAAAAAGGTTTTCGTATGAAATACCTTCAGGGCCCATTTCCTAGTGGACATAGCAGAAAACACAATAGGGCCCTACACACTCAACACCCTACCGGGTCTACGGGATTCTACGAGATTTCGTGGATCTGTGCAACTGGCATAAGGCTTATAGACGTACACAAACAAATTCAAGGTGTATAACAATGCGCAGCATCATGAACTTGCATCAGAGGCTTCGCAAACGCTCGTACATTAATCACAATGGAAGCTGTGCAGCTTGCACTTACGGGGACGGTGATGGTTGAGGATAACTTAAGCTCCGAGTTCAGCCTGACAAAGTTCCACACCTGCATCACAATCACATGAAAGAGACGGATGGCACGGAAATTTGCAATTCATTTTCAGGACAGCCACAGCTACATGTAGCCGGAATGAACTACAATGCAACCTGGCTAGAATCTACACACAAGCCTCAGGCGGACTGTTCATGGTTGAAGGACACTTCCTCAAGTATCATTAATATACTCGTACATCATCACGTGCAATTTTAGTATTATTCTAGATTTCTAGTACAGTCGTCCCTCTCTAATCCGGCACCTTTCGCAACGGCATTTTCTGCTGGATAAACCAGGGTGCTGGATTATCAAATCCTGCCCTCCAACCCGGCCCACCTGTTAACATCCATGTTTGTGTTGTATGTCAAAACGTAGGGATTTTCTGTGTCAATCCAAGGACTTTGTGGACTGCATGTCTTTAACATACACTTGGGAATATCCTATGCATTGGCATAGGATATTCCCAAGTGTATGTTACATGTGTTGCGTATGTTACAATGCTCCCTAACGGTATGCAATGTACAACTGCTGGACTAGAAAATCGAACTATGTACAGTTTGAGTGATTTATTGCAGAAAATCGCTGCTGAAGGCGGAATTCAAGTGCCGGATTAATCCTTTGGAGCCCGTACAGTCAAAAATCGACGGTATACCGTCGATGGACTAAAACGTTCGTAACTCATTCGAAACTTGACGGATTTCCAAGAGTGAAATATCTGGGAAAAAGCCGAAGAGCTCAGCTTTCTAATGCAACAATCGCCGAAGAGCTACGATGTCGCGTTACAGAGATATCGCGCTTGACATTTCAGTCACGGCAAAAGTCGAACTTTTTTCTCAGTGACTGGCCTTGAGTGAGGGATTTCCCCTTGGATGACATGCTGATTCATCCAGGTACGCTTCCTGTACGTACGTACGTGGCCAGCATGAAACTAAACTCAGCGCCAAAAAAATGTAGCATTCCACGATGAATGAGAGTGAAATGGCTGGCGTTGAGGACATTTGCTCGTATATCCAGCTCTGTGGACTGTTCGAGGTGCCGTGGCGTTGGATATATGACTGCTGTAGTGTTGAATTTGAGCTCTAGTTACTCTGCTCGCGGAGAGCTTTCCAGGAAGCCTAAGATTATGGAAATCCAATTACAAGCACCAAAGTTATGACCAAAATACGTTAAAGAATATACTGTAATTGCAGTCGCATACAATTATCAGGATTTTTGGGGCTCCAAAGGGTTAAAGCATAGAAAAATAACCGAAAAAATCCGTTTTGCCAGAAAGTGTGCTGGTTTGCGAGGGTGCTAGATAAACAAGTGCCGGATTAGAGAGAGACGACTGTATTATTTTACCACTACATATCAGTGTGCACCACTTTGTTCATTGCGCAGCGACCATAAAGAGGATCCAGGGTACATAACCATGACTGTACTCTTGATAGGATGTAGCACAAGGCGATAACATGGCCAGGGTCCGCAGTTACAGATCTCCCAAGTTACGAATAACCGTTACCCTTTGATCAGAGAGGGACCCGTGTACAGTACACGTGAACAGAAAGGGGACCATACTCTTGCTATGTATCCTAGTAAACCCAGCCGAATATTCAAATTCTGTCAAATTCAGGGTGGTTTCTGCTGGCAACGTCGTGACTCTCACCTGTATAGAACGACCGCCACACATGACCATGTTGTGGAATGACTGGTTGTATTCGCCACTGAAGCATCAGCAACCAAGAGGACCGCACGCGCAGACACGTGCGTGCACACACACAACATACACACAAGCGCGCACACATACCAGGCGCACGCACACACACACACGCACGCACGCACAAACAACGTACCACACGAACGTTCAAGTGTAGGCAATCCAGACATTTTAAAGCACTGCTAGTTACTTTGGGCACATTGCATCTTTTTGGCTACTAGTATTGGGGTTTAGCTGATGAATCTGATTCTGGTGAATGGTTCCACTAGCGGAGAAGTCGTAAAAGTTGTAGGATCAGTATAGATACATGGGACATGTGATGCTCTGAAATGACCAGTCGGAAGAGCACTCTTCTATCAGATTATTGATTGCAGAGCCCAGCAAGTTGACTTTGGCGGGGGAGAAGAGCCGTATCCAGCAGGAATGAGTTCCCAACTTCAAACCGAACCCTTCTACAAGATATTGATGCCTTTTCTTCTGCCAGGCACGCTGCACTTCTTTCAGGCTATGGAACTGCATGGCAGATCTTCTCTTCCTCCAGGAAACTTGAGAATTGTGAACTTGCCTCCCTGGCAGGTGAGGTTGATGTCTCTTCACAAGCAGTGAAGTGTGACCCTCCGATAGGTTTGCAGGGGGGGGGAGAGAGGAACGCCACACCCAGCTACACCAGCTCAAGGATCACTATGTGTCTTGCATGGAACGGCTGGGTGTCGGATCGGGCTTCTTGAGATAACAGGAGGGGTGGAGGGATACGCCATCCTTTTTAAAAAAGGGGTTGGAGTGGTGTTTCTCCAATATTGCTGCAACAGTCCAGCAGCCCGGGATGATTGTAACGCAGCACTTCTCACCCCGTAACACAGCATACATTGTACATGCAAACACAGACTTACTTGCTGCACGGATGTGGAGAGGTGACTGAGAATATGGTCGAAAGGTTGGAGTTCAGAATCTAAACATACACACACACAAACACACACACACACACACACACACACACACACACAGGGCATGTTTCAGGGTGTGCAGACTACTGTACACTGCAACCACTTCCTTTTAAGAAACTACATCGCACACCAACACTCGATGCGATGCAAGTATGCGACAAACTAGAACTACATGCAAGAGACTTCACAACAGCGCTCGCCCAAGTGCACTTCAACATAGGCAGTTGCAAGGTGAAAATATAACACCGACAGCTAGCTGTGCAGAGATTGAGTGAACACTACATGGTAATATAGGTTGGACTCAGTAGGCAGTCAGGTCAAAGCAGTCAGGAGTCCAGTATGCAGTCTATATACATGTACATCGAACTACGAACACACACAAGTTTGGCGGGAAGATTTTGTGTTACATACATACCAGTACATCCATTCTAGTACATACATGTGTTGCCGCAACCTTACATTGAGTACAGCTCCATCGCACAATACAACGTACTGCGAACTCTGCAACGCACAGAACAAGCGCTTCACACCAGCCAGCATGGTCAGCCTGGGCTCTAGGACTGAGATGGTGGTGTTCTCACGCCATTCACTGATGCCCAGGCCATCAACAGTCAGGATCAACTGCTCGGCACGATTGAAAACAACCTGTACCATGACACAAGCACATATAGACACAGACAGACACATACACACACACACACACACACACACACACACACACACACACACACACACACACACACACACTATGTCCAATTTATGATGTGCCATGTACGCACCGCACGTGCGCATGTACCTGGTATGTGTGTGTGTGTGTGCGTGCGTGTGTGCACATATTGCTATGTCTAACATAGCGTGTTCGCTATCGTCGCTTCAGCGATGACCAGGAGGAGTAGGAGTAGGAGTAGGAATGTGTGTATACATGTATGTGCTTTTGGGTATGTGCATGTACATGTATGTGTTTATGATATAACCTAAACACTAGTTCAAAACCAGAATTAGATAAACCTTGTTATAGTTCACGCATATTGTTAGATTGACAGCATGAAACAAGGGTTGTAGTAAGGTCACTGTTTCCGAACACAGTGTCCTCCACCTTGTTTCATGCTGTCAATCTAACGATGCATGTGTTTGTGTGTTCATCAGAAGCTCTGCCATGTTGCAATAGAGCATGCTTCACAACGGATGAATCCCTTTTTTCCATAGAACGCATGGAATTATAGAGGTTATACAATGACATCATCAGTTCAGATGTTTGTATGCAATGACATCATTAGTTCAGATGGTTGTATGCAATGACATCATCAGTTCAGATGTTTGTATGCAATGACATCATTAGTTCAGATATTTTGCATGCAATGATATCATCAGTTCAGATGTTTTGGCTAAGTCTCAGCAGTCGAGGCCCTGGCTAGCTGGCTGTCCAGACCTGCACTAGCGACTCACGCTGCATACTAGTACATAGTGCCCACAAGCAGTTCCGCTATAATTATACTAAGCGCCTACAAGCGGTTCCGCTGGATACTTAGCACCCATAAGCAGTTCCGTTGACTCACCACCATGAAATCATTCGCATGGCCATTCAATATACTGGCATCACCATGATAGCTGGCACTTGGCTTCACACCAGCCACACACATTCTCACACCCAACCTAGTCACACACATTCAGATTCTCAGTGACCCAAGCTATTCACACGCTTGCTACTCTGTCTCTGAGTACTAGTAGTACATTGTACTGTCCAGTATAATGCAAGTACAGTACTCACTGCAACTTGAATGATCTCACCTGAGTCACTCGTTTGCCCAATGGCAATCTGGATTTTCGGCGGACTCCATGGTACAGGGTCACAGCTTCTGAACCATCCAGCTCGGCAGTGACCGTACGTGCGCCTTTCTTGTCGGCGCGAGGCGAGAACATACCTGGTCGGCTAGCCGCATCGTGGACAGTGGAGAGCTGCGTCTTCTCTAGATACTTTCGTCTAGTCGATCCAGGTAGGGGCATTCGCGGTGGTTTGTAATGGCGAAGGTCGTCACGTTCAAGGAGTCCTCCGCAACTCTCGCTTCTCACTCCTGACCTGGAGCTGCGCCCGTCCCGAAATGTCGGTGTGCCAGTGGCAGACCTGTTCATTTCTATGTCTACGTTAGACATTTTGCAACACCTCTGTGAATTCTCTCATTCCATCCCACCCGGTTTGATCTAAGGTTGGTTGTACATGTACCTGACTTGGGTGCCTGTCCAACTTTCGCTAAAATTGAACTTCATGTCCAATTCCGCGCAACATTGTAGTAACCTTTGCTACATAACTAAAAAGAGGATTACATCTTTCTTTTTCAACAAGGCAACACCATGATGAGCACTGTCACAACAAAAATAATCAATCCTCTCTCGAGATCTCACGCACTGACAGTTTATCAGGAGAAAAAATGAAATAGCCGCATGCAGTTCTTCTCGCCAGCACGGTTCAAACGCGTAGGGCACGCTTGCAAAGAGCGTGCTCATTGCTGTAGCAACGTGCTGGAGCGTCATGACAATTAAAAATGGCGTCTGAGAAATCGCTCCATGCTGAGCCTGTGCTGGTGCAGCTATGCGATGATGTTGAACTAACATTTTCTTGGAAGAAGATTTTGCATCTTCATAAGAATTTTGATTATCGATCGCCATGGGCAAACACGCCAAAGAAAAGGATACTCCTAAGGAGCAGAAAGAGGAGCCAACAGAGGATCGTCCTGAGTATGAGGAGTTGGTGGAGCGAGTGAGTACGATTGCACAGCCTTTGGCTTCGAAGAAACTCACTAAGAAAATCTACAAAACAGTAAAGAAAGGTGAGTTGTTGTAAACCACGTTGCACTGTACCTTCCGCCTGTAGATCAGCTAGAAATTAGCTCTATCTGTTTTGTCTCAGCGTCCAAGTCTAAGAGTCTCCGACGTGGCGTAAAAGAAGTGCAGAAATGTATCCGCAAGGGTGAAAAGGGGTAAGTTGATAACCAGAACTGCAGAAGCATGCTTACATCAGGAGTACGCTCTACCTAAGCAGTCATGTACATATCTACTGCATACAGTTACAGAGACTCGCTCTGAGCGTGTTTACTGCTTAGAAGTGGTTCGGGCATTAGAAAAGGGCCTATGGATGCATTTTATTATTGCTATGTCAATAGTTGTACTGGACTACGTATTAGTATAGCATTACCGAGGCATTGGCCCTAACTGTACCTATAGAACTGTGCAGTTCCATGATAGGCTGTGTTGAAGAAAATCCACCGTCCTCTCAGAACCTGATGCGTCCACAACCTACTCTGCATTCAGAATGCAAGCATGAAATTACATGTATACCCCTATGCATTGCTGGCGAGTTTTTCCATGATTGCATGTTAATTCCCTATGTATGATGCATATGAACAATGTTGCTGGTTCTCATAGAGGCACAGAAATGTGTGCTAGAACAAGTGGTTGCAATCTGCAATTCTAGTGTCCCTGCCCTACCCAAGCACTAACACAATCTCTCTCTGTCACTTTGTACAGACTTGTAGTAATGGCAGGAGATATTTCGCCGATCGATGTCATTTCTCATCTCCCCGTTTTCTGCGAGGAGAACAAACTGCCTTACTGCTACGTCCCAGCGAAGATTGTAAGTACATGTACATCTGGAAGTAAAATGTATCCATGTGAATGAAGTTGCATCAATCTTTTTTTGTGTTCGTACGTATGTGTATTTGTGTAAAATGTGCACGACTATCATACTTTCTGGGGTTGAAGTGGCCTTCTAGTTCTGGAAATCAGCTAGAAACCTGGTCTATGTGCCTAGTTATGCGGGCCCGATCGTGACGTTGCAAGGGTGAACAAGGCATTGCAATGCTCGTGTGTCTACGTAGGTTTGCTCTCACTTTGTTCCTGGAAAAGCTTCACTTTACGCACCTCTACTTGCTGTGCAGTAGTGACCAATGAAGTACAGAACCATCCCCGGTTAGAATGCCTGGCTTACTCCAGTACGGTGTTGATGGGTGGGTGGGTATGCCATGGTTGCCTGAATAATCATAGCGGTGTAATCAAGGACGTGTCCATACTAGCATTTCATTGGGCGCTGCCCTTGCATGCATACCCCCCCCCCTCTATGGAAGGTTTGCTGCGGTGCCTGTATACACATGTACAATCTTATCATACCCGTAGTCAAGCAGACAGGGCAGGCACTGTCCAAGTCGGGTACTGTGTGACACGTTGGCATGGGTGTGCATCTACCTGTGATGGATTTCTAACCTCATGGCAATCTTCTGTGCAGCCAAACTCGAAATGATACACTCATCTCACGGTTCTAGCCAGGAAAATATTGTAAGGGGGTGGCAAGGAAACAAACAGGTCACCCATGTTTTCCATGTCGCACTATTGCTTTGTCACACAAAAATGCGACGTATGGGCGCAGCGAGCACCCGGAACGATCGATTTGTGGCGGCATTTTTCATTGTGTGAAATGATATACACGGAATTGAAAAAATGAGTATGGTGGTGGTGCGTAGTGGTGAAACGAATATTCGAATATTCGTTCGGTTTGGCACATTCGAACGAATATTTCTCATGGCAAATATTCGTTAACCCGGTATGCAGAGTTTACCAGGCGACTTCAAACTTTCGTAACTCTTCATCGAAAGGTCTATCGGCAAACTGTCAGCAGTCGTCTCGAAGCAACCCGCGATCCGAGGTTCTGGAGTGGAGTTACGGCGCTCGAACGAAAATCACGTCTCAAAGTTGGGGTTTTTAGCGTGTAAAATGCACTTCAGCTGGGGATTTTGTGAAAATTGACCTAGAAATGATGGAGAAATGTGTGCCTTTGTTTGTCATGCCTGATATTATCGTAAAGTACCGTTGATCCGCCTCCTCTCTAATTCCCCTGTCGATTTTCTACTTGTGAAGCGACTTCGACGTATACAACGAAATACAATGTTGAACCGACGCATGCATTGCTGTACACAATACTTGCCAATCCAGGATGAAAATGTGCACATTCCAGCACATCGAGTCTGAACTTCTACGTTGTTGTGCATCGTACTGCACTTGACAGCCTTGATCCAATTCCCGCCCCCTGCCGAAAACCCAGCTGGGAAACGACATGGCGTGGGGGCGGATCAACGGTACTTAACGGTAGTAACAATATCAAATAAATGACTGAGAGGAGGGTGTGTGATGTCATCCGTGTTAACGAAAGAATATTCGTTCGTTCGTTAAGCCAAAGAATATTCGGTAGGGGTGAAACGATTAGTTCGAATATTCGAGTATTCGTTCGAAAATTTCAAACGAGCGAGTATTCGAAATTTTGCACTCGATCGTTTTTTTAAAATATTTTTTTAGGATTGGCATTGTATTTTTTTAAAACTTTTGTTGTACCGCTGGTCCACTGGTATGCATGCGTTATTCATGGCTTTGAGTCAGTATTTTAACCCTTTATGGACGGATTACTAGCACAGTATGCACCAGAATTACAAAATGTCAGTACAATTTTCAACTTTTCCATGTCATAACTTTGGTGTCCTTCACTTGATTTTCACAATCAAGGGCTCATTGGAAAGCTCTTGGCGAGAGCTACGTCAGGGTACCAATCTCCATTATCCGGCCGCCACAAATCAGGCGCGGTAACACAGCAAAGTCGTCTCCAAGCCTGATATGCAAGCAAATTCGTCCCATCAACGCCATTCCACTCTCCTTCATCGCAGAACGCTCAAATCTGTTTGAGACGATTCAAACTTCAGCCGGCTACGTCATTATCATGTGCTCAGTCGCTCAAAGAGCACACGAAAAGGGATTTTCCCCCAAAATGGCGAAATGATCGATCAAAAATTTGAATTTGCCGAGGTAAGAATACGGCGTGCGATATCTCTGGTGTCCGACATTGTAACTCTTCGGCGATTGTTGCATTGGACAGCTTGGAGTTCCCGCTACCACGTAGACCCTTCGATTGTGGAATTTGCTCAAGAAACGATGGAGTTACGAAGTTACGAAGTTTCGATCTTATTAGATCGAAACTCGTACAGTCCGTCCATAAAGGGTTAAGACTTGGACGATGCGTTCACCACGGCAAGTAACGTTCTGAGATATGAAAGTACTGATGAAAATTGTTACTTTACACTCTGTACAAGACGTTGGCGACTTTTGTTCTATGTTCACAGATAATTTCTTCCGAATTGGTCGAGAACTTGCAAATCTAGCGCTTTTGAATTTTGATAAAATAATCGGATACTCGACCGAATATTATGAACGAGTGATCGGTTGGTCAAAATAGATACTCGTTTCACCCCTAATATTCGGCTATTTCACCACTAGACCGGTGCGCTGTCAGAGTAGGAGGGGGGGGGGGGGGGCTGCATCTGTTTCTGCATCATGCTGGCCGATGTTGTGCAGCATGCTTGGTCCTGTGAGTATGAACTTTATGTGAGGTATGCATATTTCTTTTTCGGTGTTGCTGTTCTGTAGGACCTTGGTGCGGCCAGCTGTACTAAACGGCCCACAAGTATCGTTTTAATCAAGCGTCACGACGAGTTCGCAGAAGGATATGATGAGTGTCAGGAAGGCATGAAGGCTCTCCCGCCACCTCTTATTTCTTAATTGAACTTGAGCTTGCCTCTTCTTAACTTGCTTGTCAAACAACAATGCAGGCATGCAGATTTCTCTTGCTGCATGTTTTATTTGATTGTTGTTTTTGTACTTGTATACCGTTGGTGAAACTGTACATATGTTTTTCGCGCGTGGCTCCATTGTTATTTACATGTACATGAAACGAAAAAGTTGTACACCATCTTGAATTTAACTCATCAAATAGTAATAGGCTGTGCTTTTCGACTTGCATGACGTAATATACATGTACGTGCACAGAGTGCTAGTGGGTGTGGGTGTGTGTGCGTGTGTTCAATAGACAACGATAAAATAAATGTAAATATGAGTAAACGTCATGACTTTGGTGATGTGTACACACCTGCTTTTTTCTGCCAGACTGCTGACTTGGGCTGATAGTGTAAATGGATCTGGCGGCCATCAGGATCCCACCGCGCTGGCGACGTTGAACGATTGCCAGCTCCTTCTCTGCGACTTGTAGCGCCTGCTGGTGCAGGATGAGCACGTCCGGATGTTGGAGACGTCAAGTCCATTGGTATGGCCTTCTGGATGTCCGGTGTTTTGCCCGTTGTCAAGTTTGAAATAACAGATGGTGTTCTCCCGGGCTCACCGCCCATTGTTCTTCCAGCAACTGGTCCTATGCGTCCATTTGATGGGGGAGTTCTGACAGAAAGCCTTGGTGGTCCACCCGGCGTCTTCATACCTGGATTCATGCTGCGTTGTGTTGAAACAGTGCTAGCTGCACTGTGAGGGGATGGTGTTCTGGATGATAGGCGATAGTGTGGCGATTTGGGAGTGTGCGGTGTCATGGGAAGATTTGCACTTCCACCCATTCTGCCCTCCAGCATCTGCTTCAGCTGAGCATTCTCCTGCATCAGGCTTGTGATTCGCTTCTCTGCTTCCGTTTTCAGCTGTTTGAATTGATTCTGGAGAGCGCTCATCCCAGGTGCTTGTTGCTGTTTCTGAAGGTGAGCAATAAACCTCTGCCTGTGGGTCTTTTGGAAATCAATGACCTGCAGCAAGGTTTTGTTGTGCTTCCTCTCCAGTTCAGCCGGATCGGTGAAAAAAATCTGCACATCCGGCTTCATTTGAGATGTGATCGGAATAGCCATGAAGGAACTTCCGCACATCTTACATTTTCCTTTCATTGCTGAGAGACATTCTGAGCAGAACAGATGTCCACAGTTTGTAAGGCTGAACGCTAAGCTTGATTTCGGCTGCCTGAAGCAAGTATTGCAATGCACCCAATCCGCCATCACCACCGAATCTTGCCTCGGAGGTCAGACCTGTCAGCTACCGGTAATAAAGCGGAGGCTCATTACAAAGTAGTGCTGCTGCCAAGCGATGCGGCAAGAACGATGTATTCCTCGTAGTGTTCGACCGTGCCTCCGCAGCTCAGTGATTGTTTGAATTTCCGTCTTCGCTCAGTACCCCGCAAGAAGGGAGTCTTTTCTGCCAAAGCGTGAAGCGGCTATTGAGAATGCCTGATCACTTGAGGTAAGAGCTAACTGGTTACAGATCTCTAATAGGTTTTGTAATCATTTTTGCGTTGCTTGAAATTGTGGTCGACCGGTCGCGGAGAGAAATCGCCGTTGCACCATGAACGGGAAATCGAAATGCCTCTTTCCCTCATTCCGTCTTTTTCGTCGCGTTCCGGTAGCTCTGTCGACTTATCCTTGACCCCGTTGACCTTTGACCTCATCTTTCTTTGGATGATCGTGCTGTACGGATCATGCTATGCGGCTCAGAGACAATTACACAACACATTGTAGAACTAGAAGTAATGCCAAGAGTAGATAAACTGCTTATCTACTCTTTGTTACGTTTGTAACGCCAAGAGTATAAGCCCCCCTGGGAGAACGGTTTTTAGGACTCTTGGTAATGCTATGCAAAGAGCCATCATGTCCACACACGTAAAGCAATGTTGTCGGGCAGAACGTTTTCTTGAAGAGGGTCACAAGAAAACGTTCTGGGTTTGACTACTTTTCTTAGCGTTACGAGCCACATCTGTCAGTATAGTTCTGTCAGTATTAATTTTATACATACCAGCAAGAGCATACTAATACTATGATAGCCGTAGCTACCACGGTGTCATCTTCTATGCGCCAAGTGCTACCTGATGTAGTAGTAGTAGTAGTGGTAGTACAGTCAGACCTCGCTTATCCGGTCCTCTTCTATCCTGATCCCTCGCCGGGCCATCCGGAAGAAAATTGTTGGTTACCAATTTACAGCATTTGCCATGCATACACACAGTATGTGTGTTCGATTATCCGGTTCCCTCGCCTATCCGGATACTTGTGGAAAACATTTGTGTGCGGTTATGCGAGGTCTGACTGTAGTAGTAGTACAGTCAGATCTCGCTTATAGGCTCAGGGAATTTTCTAGAACCGCCGGCCCCAACCGGTTTTCGACCGGTTGAAATTGTTGGCGACCGGTTGAAAAGTTACAAATCAGTTCCAACCGCCCGTACTTTTCTGTGGGTGAATGGAGCTGCTTATATCTTTGCTACACTCCAGCACCAAGAAATCTGTTAAATTGCTGTCGAGTGCCATATTTGGGTTGTATTTTGAAAAAAATTTCAGGGGGGACCCCCGGACCCCCCCCCCCCCAACTCTTCATTGGACCGTAACCGGTTGGAAATTCGTCCAAGAATATACCCTGAGGCTATTCATACTACGTTACAATACGCGTCACGTTTTGGAATACGACGTACTGGCAGACGTCGTTTTCATGCAGGTGCATTCACACAGGCCAGCACACGCTGCTCGTACAGCTGTGCGTACAGCTTCTTTTGGACACAAACTGCTGGGAACGACAGAACGAAACTCAGTACAGGGGTCTGGATACGTCGTCTACGTTTTCGTATCAGGGGTACGATTTTCCCGCCACGTTCCATGTTGTCATGGCTATCCGGACGAAAACGTCACGTACGCCACGTTCTGGGCGTAGTGTGAATGGCCCATTAACCGCACACATCTGTTTTCCACAAAAATATCCGGATAGGCGAGGGAACTGGAGAACGCCGTTTATGTTGGACGCATCATGTATGCTGTAAATATGTAACCAGCCATTTTCTTCCGGATGGCGAGGGATCCGGATAAAAGAGGACCGGATAAGCGAGGTCTGACTGTAGTAGTATTTATTATTTTACTTGCGTATACCCAACATGCCTATGCTGGCCTTCTTACAGGGTGCCCAAGGAGAAATTGTGGGCAGCTAGCGCGAAAAGCAGGCAAGGTACGCAGTCGCTGGAATGTAGATCTACCATACCGGCCTGCTATGTCAGATACCATCAGTCATGCATCAATCAAGCACCATGCGCACACTATGATAGTGATGGGTGGGGCGTCAGAACCCGGTGGTGCGGCAGTGCAGCCAAAGTCGCACCAATACAAGTAATTTCATCTTGTGATTTTTGAGGCAATGAAATATGGGCTATTTGGGCCAAGCTTTCGAAAAGATATCCCAGGGAGGCGGGCTCTCCCCCCCCCCCCCCCCCCCCCCCCACCAATCACGATTGAATACTGTACCTCCATTGATGGTGCTATACTATTCTGTGGTCCAATCGAATGGTATAATTATGGTGAACTTAGTACAGACAGCCCTTGGCGGATTATGCTCGGTAAATTGCTGGCTTTCCATTATTCCCAAAGTATGCCAGTGATCATGCTACATTTAATATGCTGGAATAATGCCAATGATGGTGCTATACGGTACCCTTGCATTCTTGTTGCACTTTGCAACGTTACAACGACTCTCAGGGTACGATGACAGCATGGCTTATACCGGTAAGGGGTAACATTCACCAGGTTATTTCCTCCAACATGCCTAAATATGCCTGGAGCATTTATCTGCAGCCCGGCAGCATCGTAAGGTTATGCCGACCGTCTGGTCTCAGAAGTCCTTTTATGCCAGGGCATAGTTTTTAGACAAGATCCGAAGATTATGCCAGAAATTATGCCAACCGCATGATAATCCGCCAAGGGCAAGGGCTACCCCTGCGGCGGGAGTGATCATGATGGTGGTGAGAAGAAGAGCTCTGTGCCAGTGTGTAACTTTGCAGCACAGAGAGCGAAGAACTGGGGGGGGGGGGGGGGGGGGGGGGTTCTAGCCTAGCCCGTTCTTATTTTTAGCGAACACAGAGTGACCGAAACGTTGAGAAGAAAGAAGAATTGTTCAGCTGTGTGTTCAGCTGTGTGAAGAAGCAGTGCATCTGAGTGTTGGCCAGTGTTGCCACAATACAAGTTGCTATAATGAAGCTGCGTGAAGCGTCGTTCCGAATTTAGAACACAGCGGGTTCGTTCTTATTCGATGGTACAGCCTAACATGTACATATAGTGAAAAAGTGGTCCGGCCAAAGCCGGACCGGCCGGAGCGGCTGCTACGCCCCTGCTACAATGTACACTCAGCCGTTAACTCTGCATAATATATATATTATGCAGAGTTAACGGCTGAGTCTTATAAAAACACGGATGACCGCGATTGGCCCATATGTTGTAGTCTCTTGGACGCTGAGTCGACTGCTTTGGTCCGAAAAGGCGATGATGTAGCTCGGCCCTTATTCCCAATCGAACATGGCTGAACAAGCGGTCACGTGCTCGTGTGTACACCAGTCACCTGGTCAGACCGTCACCGTGCCTGCAGGCTACAACTTACAGCATGTTTGAGCAAGTTTCTGTCACTCGACTTGAACTTTTGAGTTGAACCTTGGTGTGAAATTTGTCGCCTGCTAGCGCGGTGACTAGGTAACTTGTGTACGCAGGAGCACGTATCAGTGGGCCAATCGCGGGAGGGAGCGTCTCAGCTTCCTCGGACCACAACCACTGATTCGACTCAGCACCCCGAAGACTACAAGTGGTGAAAATTTGATCATTTTTGGCTTAACTTCCCCTAAAAAATTAATGGTGAAATTCTAGCCTGGCGCATGGCCGTTCTTCGGCGCCCGACAGTACTGTACCTTGACCTTTGACGCCCATCGCCAAAGGCGATGATAGCAATGCTACGGCATAAGCCATAGCAACTTGTCACGGCTGGGATTGCACGATTCAACAGCTTGCAAGGCTGAAGAATTGACCGTCACTATTCAGCCTGGTCTACACCATACAGCTATTTTGAAGTGACTTTTTCTGGCCAGTGAGTCCCTATTATTTTTTGGTCTTTTCATTTTTTTCCCCCGCACACACATTATTATTATTATTATTAAATTTTTGATAGGGCAATCCCCACAGGCCTAAGGCCTTTTGACAGATCACACCACATACATGTACTCCGGCATGCACTGGCTGTTGGTAACCACCCAGGAGAATGAAAGAAAAGTACTGTACGGAGGACTACGGACCAACACTACCTGAACACAGTGCGTAGGTTGCGGCTAAACATTTTCCCCTGAAGCACGGCAGTTTTTTTGGAAATCATGAGTGCCCTCTCCGGAGCTCCCCTGCCTTTCTTTGTGAAATGTGCAGTTTCCGAACGTCAAGGCTCCACCGAGAGTAACCATGGTAACAGCGTAAAGTACTAACAAGAGTTATTCTGGTTATGAACTCTTGCCAGTGCAGTCTTGACTCTTGCCAGTGCAGTCTTGACTCTTGCCAGTGCAGTCTTGACTCTTGCCAGTCTTGGTACATGTACATAGTACATGTACTAAAGTCTAAACAAGTCTAAATAAAAAGTCAGTACGTAAAGACGAAGTGCCATTACTCAGGCATTAGGGCTTGAAAGTGATGACGTCAAAACGGCCAGGGAGTAGTAAGTTGACATCAGATTTCTATTTTTGGATCCACTAAGGTGTGACTTTGCTATTGCCTAAGTATGTGGGTGCATAGCAACCCACTCATGTCGCATGCAGGTGTGACTTTTATTTTCGCCACCAGTTGTAACCCCGCCCCCCCCCCCCGGGGCCCAGTAGCCAAATCAGTCAGTTTCACTGGTTACGGCTTGAAATGTGCTTGGATCCATACAAAAACTGGATCCAAGTGGATCCAATTATTATTTTTGAATTTTTGAAATTGTTGCTATGCTGTGACGTAGCACTTTCAAGCCCTCAGAGCGCATCGCAAACAGCGTTTTTCTTGCTATGCAAGCTCGAAGCACCGGTACGAGGACATGTACAGTCATGTAGATCTACATGCACTCGGCGGCGGGGGGGGGGGGGGGGGGGTGCCGTTGTGTTGACTTGTTCATTTCCAGACGCAAAGAGCTGGAGTACTGAGTACTCATACTGAGTCAGTAATAGTAGACTGCTATTGAGACTTGACTTGAGTAGAGATGAAGAGATGTAGAGATGAAGCTACACAAAGGCTGTGTTTACATGAGGCGTTTCAACCCGGGTTGAGTTCGACCCGGGTCAGATTTCAACCCGCCATGTGCACAAAGTGAATGGCGCGTTTACATGACGCATTGCGCTTGACCCGGGTTGAAATTTCGCCCCGGGTTGATTTCAACCCTCCCCCCAAGGGGAGGGTTGAAACCAACCCGGGTCAAGAAAATCGTACAAACGTACTTCTGTGCGTATCTCGCGCCAGGTTTGAACAGCACTGCAGATGCAAATTTCGCGCGAACGGATTCACGTGACCATGCAGGACTGTAGAAGTGGA